TCATTTGTGCGCGTGACTCGGCTGTCTCCCATTTTTTTTCTAAACTCTTGTTCATTAATTCGCAGTTTAGGCGCCTTGAAGTTGCGTTATCATGCCAGTGTGAGTGCACGTGGATCACGAGGTCATTCCTAATCAGAAGGCCGTTCTCTGACCTGGGTTGACGTAAAACAATCCAGCCTAATGCCTGTTTCTTTTACCAGTAAAATTGAGCTGTTCACTAGAAAGTTACTGGTGCACTGTGGTTCAGAGTTACAATTCTGGTATGACGCGTAAATAATACGAATTTACAGGTTTTGCGCATTTTGGGGCATGAACTGCTTTCTGGTTACCCCACGAATGCGCCCTCAGTTAACTTCAGTGTTTTCCCCGGGTGTTGATGTCTTGGGAGCTTTTATCAAATTCACTCCGCAACAGACAGCTACTTCCCAGGTCGTTTTTCTACTGTTTCCACTTTACTACGTCTTAGCACCTCAGATCCAAGCTGTGCCACCTAATTTTGCACACTCAGGCATCCTCGTCTTCCCTCAACAATGCCGAGTTTTCCCCTTCATCAACCGATTCCTTAACCACCCCCTTCACTGCGAAATTTCGTCTCAATTTGCTAACATATTATTACAATAATTCCCTCGTTTTGTTTATTTCTTTCCATTATTCGGTGTTCACTCGGGATATTTTTATGTTCTTGTAGCCTGACTGGACCCCTTTGAGCTACGTTGCACCAGAGAACCTACAGGCCACCAGTCGTGTTGGGCCAATGGTAAGCGTGTGTCGCAAGGCACCTCCCGCATGTTTACACACTGATTAGCACCGCCGTGTTTGTTGCAAGGTATGCTTCGGTACATTCTTGAGCTTAAGTCTGACGTGGCGATGCCTTTATTGCGGTTCCGCCAACCCCTTCACCGCTTTTGTAGACTGTACTTAGCGAAATTCGCTAGAGCCTCTTCCTTTAAATAATTATTTTCGAGGTCAAAACATAATTGGATGATTTAACTGTTCATGAATGTATGTTGTTAACAGTTGCATTTGGGCAACCCTGTGGCGAGTTCGCTTTTTGTTCACCCGGGCAAAAGAATACTGCTATTATTTGTTTTGTTTGTTCCAGCATAAACGCCGTGGCTGGTCCTACTTGGAGCCTCATGGTGGCACCTCGGAATCCAAAGTGAGTTAAATTCAAACCATATTCTCTTCGCGTTTACCAGGGCTTACTCGAATCCTGTTAAATATGATCTGCGAAGGGAGGATTGTGCTCATGTTGTCGTAGCCTTTCAAACCTTTTTGTCCATAACTTTGCATTGTTCACATCGGTCGAAAACGGGCATTCAGCACATCCACGCAATTGCACATGTCATCTCGCCAAACCTCATGATGCGTGTCTACAAATTCACACGCATCAATTGATGGCTAGTCGGTCGAAAGCCAAATGCCACGTAAACACACATTTTTACAGCGTGAGTGTGAACTAACCCAAGAAAACAGTCAACGCTGTCAGGGGAAATCATGTCGGACGTGGATTTAGGTGTCCATTATTACAATCGGAAAAAAACTCAGAGGGATTGCCCTTACGTTTCGATTTATCGCATCAATGAACCAGTTGGGCAATTCCCAATACCTATGAGGAATTGACTTGCCGCAAGACCTTTAGAAGAAAACGTGCTTAGTGTGTCTTGTGGTGTGGGTTAGGTACACAAATGAGTCGTGCTCAGTGAATGGTTTGGTGTCGCTTGTCGAAGTATACTATTTCAAGTATGCAATCTAGATGCATTATCGACAGCTTTACCGTCTCACGTGTTACGTATCACTTCTTCCGTGAGTCATCCGCGTAGGCTAAATCATGAAATAACGAGTCGATTTGGGAAAACGACCCTGTGGCAGTCTTAGCCCTTTTCGTGGCCAAGTGACTCTGCTAAAATTTGCTCAATCCTTTTGTTTTAACTGCAAAGGCCAGCTTGGTTTTTGGTGTCATGTTTCATGCCATAACCTCATTGTCTAGCCGCTTAAGTCTTACAAAGTGGTATGTGCATTATGCATCTGATGTTGCATTCCAAATTGTAGTGTTAAGCTAGTTGTCTAGCTTCCGGCCTTCCAACAAGTGTTGCAATTCGTCTTACAACCTCACTATGCTGTTAAACATTAGTCAACATGTGTTGTGGGATTGCCTTTTGTGTGCAACCGCCGAATCAGACCGAACGCCAAACAGTTTAACGCTGTAATTGCATTCGTTGTTGTGTTTGATAAACCGTTCCTTCGCCGGCTCACAAAACTAGCCACACTTAATTCAGCTTTAATCCACATTTGTGGTGAAGGAACTTATGTTCGATATGCAAAAAACCTCTCTTAACTCTTGGTTCATCCGTATCTGTGTAGTAGCCTTCTGTCGCTGTTCAAAAACTACCAATACTTTTTCTTTTGCATTCAATTTTGTATTTGGTTTGGTCAAATTAACTTTACTAGGACTCTTAAGTCCCAAATTACGATGTTCTTGGCTGTATGCGATTCCACCATTCTCCTCTTCGACTTCAGAGGAAGCAAACACCCCCTTTAAGTATATCATTTTCGCTTCCTCGGCCCCTCTTTATGTCATATAATGGGCTGATTCATTCAACAGTGCGTGAGTAATAAAGCTTAGTTGCTGTGCGGCGTCTCCGCCAGGACATTCGTGGGTCGGCGGCGCGCCCTGTCACTTGACTTGCATTCGGCGATTTCTGCCACACCTGGGCAACACACTTGATTTTGGCCAAAGCTTCCAGTTGTGAATTCTATTGGCCTCACGCGCTCGCGGCCACTTTAGTCGTTTTCCCTGCCTTTTTGTGTTGCTGGTCTCCAATTTTCTTGCTTTCGGTTTTAATTCAGTAGGACTTGATTTTACTACTGTGATTCCTGGTGGTTCAGCACGCAGTCAAATTTAATTGCCATTGGTGACCAAGGCTGACCTTCTTTTATGACAGACCGACTGAACCGGCCCTCCACCCTCACTCTAGTTGACTCGACCGGTTTTGTAACTCTGCGTACATTGGCCGGTACCTATGTGTGTGTGCGTGTGTGTGTGTGTGTATTACGACTCCACCCTTTCCTTAATAATGCCACCTATTCTGGGTCGCTGGCCTCATTGCGGGTCATGTGAGTCGACCTATCACGTCTAAACAAGCTGCCAGTTTTTTCCGATAAGTAAGCACTGCAGGAAGGCAAACACAGTGGCCCTTAGAAGGCTAGCAGGCTTGCCTAAAGTCTAGATTGTTGGAGAGGTAACTAATCTCCGAGTTCGCATCACTGCGCTCCGGCGTGCCTTCGTGCTGTCACCCCCTACCGCCATCGATGTCATTAGCTTGAGCCATGTCAACTCGCCTGTGGCCCCGTTTTCGATAACCCTGGCATGTCGCTTCAGAACAGATTACACGATTTTCGGAAAATAAGGCGTCATTTGACATTTTATTCGTCCTATTGATTGAACCTTTCTCGGCCTCTAACGGCACCGCCGTCCACCACGGTTCTGCAGGGTTCTGTCGAAAAAAAATAGAGGTTCGGAAGAATTTGAATCTGATGTTTCATCTTCTGGGAGTTTTGATAGAATCCTCATATTGATTCGTAGTCGATTGAATATTCCAAATGTGAAATTTGTTCCCTTTAACAACACAAACAACGTTACTGAATTTCGGGGAATGTCTTCCCGATTTAATGGGGCTCCTTTCTGCTTGCGGTGTTGGTGCCACCAGCGCGACTACCTGTAGTTCAAGCTCGCACAGGAAGACATAAGCAAAGACAATCCCTTGAAGGGTATTGACGACATTCCGTAGAGCAAGTGGCATCCACTAAATACCTTAGTTTTGCTACCACCGTTTTGAGTCGCCAGCAAAGGCTCACGTTGCTGCCGCTGACCAGACGTGTTTAATTTTTGTCCCAGTGGAATGTCTGACCTGTGACTGTGGTCTTAAAGAGGGGTCTACTTCATTTTATGCTGCAGAGATCGCCCACAACCTTGGGTGCAATTCCACAGGACGGTTGTCCAGAAATTGATGGTTAGGAGGCCGCTTCATTTTTAACTGAAAACGTTGTCTGGAGAGTCTTTTGCTACGTAGACTATGACGGTCTGAACGTTGGGGTTTGCTCTTTGTGTAAGAGCTGTCATTACACACTGCTACTGTTTATCAACTGCAATACCCTATCGTCTCCTACTTATGTTCATGCCATCGTGACGTCACATCGCTATAACGTACTAAGCCACTCATGTTTTGTAAGTCCCGTTTCATAGCTCAAAGGTTTCAGCTTTTTCTGCTGTACTTTGTGAAAAAAGGATATTTGGTTATGTCATAATTCTATCGGAGATTCCTTCAAAACTTAGTTGAATAACCTTGTACCGAGACTGTTCTATCTACCCTCCTCGGTGTTTGTACCTATTGTATTATTGTTGTTTCGATTACGTCTGATGTTTACCCCTTTTAGATAATCAAGCCATCGGTGGATCGGCGTGAGGATGATCTGTCCCCCTCGACGCACATTGTACCTCGACTCCACTTAGCCGGTGCTGTGCCTGTCATGCCCGGTCTTGCCCCACCCCTCAGCTCGCCCCAACGGTCGACGCATCACGCCATTCCCCCAGGTGCCAACGGTTACCACTCGAACGGGCACCACGCTGTGCTCGCCGACGCCATTGACGGTATTCAACTGAGCCCCAGTCGGCGACACCCAATCCCTCTGGATGGTGTCAACGAAACGGTGGTATGTTTGGTGCCCTTTGTTAATGCCTTTAGTGCGGTGTGATTTTGCACGGGATTTTTCTCCCCTTCAGACCGTTCAAAGGTCCGAACCCAAGATCGAGTCCGAATTGCTTGAGGACGAGGACGGTAAGATTATCAAGCGAACGACCAAACGAACCCAAGTCGTGACAACAAAAACTTACTCGGAGAGGTATATCCAACCAGAGGTGAGTCGGATGGCGATGCGATCAAATGGTGGCTCAATCACTTCTAGTTCCTGTATTTCCAATCTACCTTAACACAGCAGACCCTGATTGTCGCAGGACTAGTCTTTTATACTTACTTCCCACTCAAATATGCAGACAACCACACAAGTTCTACGTTGGTTAACCTTTTTTGTGGGAAATTCTTGCACTATTGTACAGTGTATCATTTCATAAAAAGGCCATTTTTAATTAAACGATCACGAACCTCAGCAAAGCACAGTAGGATACCGATTAGTGTTGAGCGGTGACCCCACAGAGCCACCTCTAGCCCTCGAAATGAAATATTTTCTGAGCAAATACCTATGTGGCATGTGTTCAGTTTTTGCAGACAACTTCTAATCATGGGGCACCTTAAAGGAAGTCTTAAAGTGGATAAGACGGGCTGTTTTTGTAGCCACGCCTTGAACGTTACCTGTGTCCCTGATAAATGCTCCATCTCTTGCCACAACGACCGAAGCAATGGTGCTTTGCGTGTCGAGTAAAATCTTATTTCACAAATTGTAACTCACGCTTTGGACGGCTTGTGTGATGGTTTCACATTTTTTGGAAATTTTGTTTTTTTTTGTGATTTTATTCCTTACAAAATCTTCTAAACTTTATGCCTTCCTGTCTACGTTACCTTTCAAGGTCGCACTGTGCACTTTAAGTCGCTATCGGGGTTAAGTACATCGCTGGGGTTATTTTCCACACATACACACACACACGCACACAAACTCCAGAGTGATAATCACCTTGGCGTTTAGTGCGAGTACAATTTTTGGCCTTGTGGCCTGGATGAATCGCTAAAGTTGTCAGTTCATAATTTTAACTTTCCATTTTCTGTTTGCAGACATTTATCGCCGTCCCTGACGAAAATGATTACGTAAGTGCGCGCACTGCTGTTGATATATCGCATATCCCCTGCCCCCCACCCCTCCGCCGTCTGCCATAATTACCGTGACCAATCCGGTTTTGTGTGTAGCGCGTCTGCCCAAGACTCGAGTACCCCCGATCAGGTAACAATAACCGTGTGGCACTGCGCTCTTGGCGGGTGGTTGCTTGTTGAATGTGAGCACCCAGCCCGCAGTCGGCGACTGGCTCACTCCTCCACCCCGCCACCTACTGGACATGCGCACTTGTGATTCAAACCAACACTTGCATTCGTTCACGCGTTCAACTTAACCTGTGGCCCACGCCCCACTGCCATAAACACATTTACGCCACTTAAATAGTCAATTGGGTGTACTGGAATACAATATGCCTCGTGATAAGACCAAATGCAAGGGACCACCGTCAGAGTGCTTGACTTTAAGTCGCATCCACACATTGGTGGCTGTCGGACACGGGTGTCACTATCGCCGTGAGACGTTCAGGTTACATTTGTAAACACGACACGCGCACTGCACTGTTTATGCACTTTTAGCCTAACCTCATATTGCGGCCTTAAGATGCAACCAAAGGATGTCTTCGTTTTTAAATGCTAAATATGTGATAAACTGATATCTTACTCATGTTTCAACAGTAGACCCGGACTCATGAAATAGGACTTTACAAAGATATATTTTCGGCTCTGCCCATAAAATTACAGAACAGAGGGCGTGTTACCGTATAGACCAGTCGTAAAAGGCTTGGAAAATATTGAGCTAGAAGTGGTGGTGACTATAACTTTAGTGATCCTTATGGAGATATGGGAAAAGCGTTGCATATGTTTGGTTTCTCCCCAGCACGTCAATCCGAATGCCTTTTAGTGTGCCCAAATAATGCTTTTTGGTGCAGTTGGCCATAGTGAAACTGCTTGGTGGGGTAGCACAAAGGCACGATTTCCCTCTGAGTGGTGTTGGTTTGAATCGCAATGTTGTGCGGTAGGTGCTATCTATTTCCCCTGCCCCCTTACTTATGCTCATCCTGTTGGCGGTCGCCTCCTCTTTAGTTGGTGGAGCATGACATTGCTACAGTGGACCCCCTGTATGAACTCATCACATATGTTGTTGTTATTGTTATTTAATCCAACACTCGATCGTCTAGTTTATTCTGGCGGCCCGCGGCTTCAGCTAGTCCATTTTAAATTTACTTGGCGTTTCTAATATCCACTGGTTGTAGCGAAATGGCATTTACTTTATTGCGGCACGAGCACCGGAGGGAATGAGGCAGACTATCCTACAGTGGCAGAGGTCAGCATCATTTTGAAATTTTTAATGAATTTTGCCAAAATTTCAGCTCCACAGTAAGAAGTGAAAAGGTTATGTTTGGCTGTAGACGTCCAAGCCTCCAACGTGTTGATTTAAGATGGTCAAATGTTTCCTTTCGGGTGCATTATGGGGCAGCAGTTGGTCGCTTTTGTCTCTTCAACCAACCACTGGGCTGCCTGCTGGTTAGGCGTGTAAGGCAAATGCCAAAACATTTGCTTTTTGACGTATTGTGGCTCCGCGGACAAGGTAGTGAATCTATTCGCTTCCAACTTGGTTAAACACCCATACACGGGAGCCACCGTCCTTGAATCGGTTTTACAATTAAACCGTTTTTGTCTCAGATTTTCTTGTCTGTTGCTGTTAAGTTGGCATGGTGCTTTGATTTGAGTTGCCTTTTGTGGAAAGCCCCAGATGTGTTCGCTTTTAGCTTCTCTCATAGTTAAGTGTTTTGTCAAAGTTAGTTTTTATTCTTCCTGCAGGCGCTGGAACAGGCTATTTTAAAAGTTACACGCTTGGACCCCGGCGTTGCGGTCCGTACTACCAACCTCCACCACCACTCAGCACCTCCACCCCTCGGAAAAAGGAGTACCAATGGGTGTAGTATCCGCTTAAACGCCAATGGAGACAGAGCCACCACAAACAATCACTAATTAAGGCTGCTTTGGCCTTGCGAACTGCCCCATCCAGCTGATTTGATGCCTTTTAGTTCGCGTGTGCATATATGCTTAGCCCCAGGAAAAAAACTACGTTTACCTCCGCCTTTGATAACCCAACGTCATCACTATATTAGTGTTCAAAAGTAGCCCACTTTTTGAGGTGAGCCCCGTCATGAACTGCCTTCTACCTCTTTCTTTCGTAGTTCACCATGTCTGTGAATTGCAGCCTTTAATGAAAGGCTGAAGAACGCGTAAAAAGGGCCCTCAGTTATGACCAGATGGTGGCTTATTAACTCAAGCGTCCCTGGGTTTTTTTCTCATACGCCGCCTCAAAATGCGAGACTGTTAATTCCTGCCTTCTCCGTGAAACGTCTCCTTTTTGTCTCTTTCCAGTCTCTGTTGTTGAATGACGTTTTAAGGATATTCTTGTGCTGCATGCGCTGTGACCGCGTGTTTGATTTAGCCTTCTCTCTCTCTCTCGCCTTCTCCCACCCACCCCCAGGTTTCGAATTGGTTTTTTTTGAGGCATCACTTTTGTCTGGACTTCCCCCTGCATCCACAGCGTTTACTCCTCTCATCCCAACTTGTACATTTCTTTGTGCTTAGCATGCCGCGCTTGCGCTACTGCGGCAATATCCATTTATGACGCGTGTGTGTTTGATGACGATCGTGTAACCCAATTTTCCTTGCCCCATCTCTCAAATCATTTCCCATGTCAGATTCACGTGCTTACCATGCAATTATGACACTTTTTGTGTACAAGGGGACTTATGCTCCCATCATTGCTATTGCAGAAATGTTTTAACATGATTTCAATAGTATGAAGTTGCCGACTTTTCGTTCTTCCTCTTCTGTTGACAAGTCCGAACTCAGAAATCGCCCTAAACCTGGTACTCGTGTAGTCAGTCACTTCGCGTGCGCTGCTTATGATTGCGCTGAGGACCAGTGTAGCACATGCTGTTATGTGCACTGGAAATGCAGAGGTGCTCGATTTTACTAGGAAAAAAAGTGTTCTGAAGGGTTTTATTGGATCATGTGTCTTCAACCGATCACAAGGTCTACTTCGAGGATTGTGTCCATCAAGTTTGTGTGGTTGCCTAGTCCTTCATTTAAGCTACTCAATTAAGCTTATTCACGTGGTATTTGTTCACATTTGGATTTGCATGGTTGGAGTGCGAAAGACAGTTGCCTTTTGATTCCGTAGGAATGAAAAGCTGCAAAGTATTTGTAAGGTGTGTGGTGCTGATGGGTTAAATGAATATAAGCAGATGAATTAGTTTCAAAGTGTACAAGTATTTTAGTCGATCCACTGAAATAGCTTTTGACCAAATCAGACTGAATCGGATTATGGGCGTATGGTCTCCACAAATGTGTCAAGATTTATAGCTCTAAATCACATTAAACACCTTGTACTCATTACGTACTTTCGCTTGCTTTAAAATCGATTAACACGCCATATTGACAATTGCAAAACGCAGTCAAGTCGTTTAATGGACGAAGCGTTGACGATGATGGTCACATCGTTAACAATTGCCGAAAATGGAGCAATCAGTCGTAAAAGCTATTGGTAACGCTATTATATGTGGTAAAAATAATAAAAGGCTATTTGGAAAAAATCTGTCACTTCTCAGATGGACTTGACCATGTATCATTAAATTGCCACCTATTTTTAAAGTTGCAAAACGAGGGGAGTGGTGCAATGTGTACTTGCGATGATGACCCGAAATTGCACTTGAAATGGTTATTTACTGATTAGGACCTGAAATTATAGGAGCGAGGATTCAAATTTATGGAGAGAAGGAAGTCCATCGGACAAAATATTAAATATTGAAGAATGCGACACAAGTGGAAATGGACTGCATGCGTATGTAGTTATATTTATAACATGTTAAGTAGTACGCTTTCTCGTTGGGATAGAATATTCATGTCAGGTTAACTTAAACAAAATATGCAGAAATTTATTTCTACATAAAAAATATATTCTTAACAATCTCCTCTATGTTCAAGTTCATAATTATGCAATCCTGAGGTAGCCTTTTGGAAGTAACTTACAAAACTAAACTTGTGATAAATTTCTACGTTTTGAATTTCCAGGAATATAAGTAAAAGCTCCCTTTTTGTGAATTTTACCTGACTGCTATATTTTTAATTGTTTTTCATTCATGCCACCTACTCTGCATATTTATTTTTCGAAATTTAACTTCTTACCATGGACTTAGAAATGTAAGGCATATAAGTACCCTGCGAGTGTGCTTGATTTAATGGATTTAGTTTTAACGTAGAAGTATTTTGTAAATAAATGGCAAATGGGTGGAAACAGTGCAGGTTGCAAAGTCTTTAGTTCCTTCATTAAATTGAGAGGCACAAATCAATTAAACAAACATCAAATGCAGTACAGAAGGTTTTAAAACGTTGTGCTGTTTTTTTTGTCATTAATTCTTCCTAAGTGTTAATTGAACCATTAAAAAGCACAATTTGTCAATTGGTTCATCAAAGCTCAGCAATTTTTATCTTTCATATCAATAGTGTATAGACTTGATGTAATATGGCGGTCGCGATCAAAAAGCGTAATGACATGGATCATATCATCGAAACTTTCAAGATGGAAAGGATACCTGGTTAAGGCAGCCGTTCCACAGGATTATGTGCTAACCAAAATTGATTCTTTGCTTTTTCTTCTTCTATAGTGACCATGATCGAATCGTATCTTTGTACATAATTCTGATCCATAATTTGATCGCATGGACACATGATTCGCCGGGCCAAAACATTCAGTGATTTTGCTGATATTACTTCTTTCGAAGAATCAATTTGCTTATTTTAACCTATTAAGGCATTTATTTATTAAAAAGAAAGTGTTCCGAATAAATAAGGAACACCCCAACACTATCCAATGTAAGCGCAAAAATTAGGCGAACTAGACCATTTTTACCAAGTCTCTAATCAAGCTAATATTCTCCAAAGTTACATTGACATGCTGGTAATTAGAAATGCATCGAAAATATTTTAACTTAGTAATTACATTTTTAGCGCTTAATCTTCTTTTATTAATCTCCTCTTTTGTCTGAATCAGTAGTTTTCTGGCTGCTAATCGCCTCTCAAGTTACTCAAAATAGGTTACGCAGTTGAATAACGCATAGCTTACAAGGTTTGAATAATTAAACTGTAAATAAACGTGGATTGTTTCTTTAAGTGCACCGGTAAGTATTAGCAAGAAAATGAGCTGTACATTCTAAAAGTAACCAATTGGTTTTCAGAATTTATCAGCCCAATCATGATTCAGCGAATTTATTCAGTATGAGTTATGGGTGAATTTCCCCAGATAAGTTGTAATTACGAAGATAAGAAATGGTAAGTAGATGGCAAACTTTCTACTGAGTGTGGCAACGGTTGAGTGGCCATAGCGCACTTTATTTAATGTAGAAAAAGCGGATTTTCAGTATATCATTTTGGACCAATAAACAGACAGTTCCATAGCTTATTCCCGGTTGTAGACCTTAGCCTGTATGCTGCTTTCATTGTTCTGGCTGCTCAAAAATGGTGAAGTCTTGGGTTTTATTTTGCTCTCCAGATTTAATATTAGTTGGCCTTACATTCCTCGTCTGTTCGCCCGGTCTGTTTAAAGTCATTCGATGTAGATTTATTACCTTTCCCATAGTTTTTATTAATAGTTTGCAACTTTTAATCCCAGCATAATTGGAAGAATTGTATGACGTATAGCACTGTTAGTAATAAAACTAAAACGTGTTCGAGGTTATTATTGGCATGCTGATATTTTCAAAAACGTACCATAATGGCCCTCAACCGTTGTAGTCAACAATAGACCTTTATTTTTCATTCTGGAAGTTTTCGTTGCTGGTGCACTTTTCATACCGCGTTTATTGAAATTATCAAGAAGAGTTATTTGTTCTGAATTGGCCTCTGTGATTTTTCGTTCCTTCTCATTTTTTGTTTTATGGGCCTATATGCAGACATTAGGGTTCACTAATAAATTGCATTATGTGCAGAAAAGGACTGTAGAATGGTACACACCTTGAAGACTTTGCTTCGACACATTAATATTATTGATTAAGTCCTTCTGTATTATAAGCTAATCCCCATAATTTGCTTTTTAAGTCCTAGTTTTTTATATTTCTGGTTCTGTTTTGGACATCCTAAATCTTTTGTATACATAATTGCATTAATTAATCGTTTTATAGCATCAGGATGGTGTTGGAGAATCGCCAGCAACTTCTAATATACAACAGGTATGCTTCTGTTTAAAGTTTCCTTTGGTTCTATCAAGGAAGCATTATTGCCTCCTTGGACCCATGTTGGCATAATCGGTTTTTATTGTTGCTATTTCTTCTGACTTTAAAATTGCTAATAAACATTGCGCCAACACTTCCAGGTTGCCATTGACGACAAAAAAATATGAAACTGACAAAATTTCCCGTGGATATTCCTCTAAAGCAACTACTTTGCGCACTTCGCTCGTCTATGTACCTTTTAACTCTTTCGCTAACAGTGGAATGATACCATGTCTTCGAAAATAGCACTAAGTTCTAGTTGCTTGCATGTAGCACTTGTGTATAAAACTTTATACCTCTCATTTTATCACTTGCTGATAGAAGATGCGAATTTGTTCGTACGTGTGCAATCCCTAATTCCTTTTGGAAGTTCGTTTATGTTTTTCGAGTTATGCTGGAGCTTTTGCGTATATATTCACATACTCTATATTATTTTATAGCATCCTGTAAATGTTCTTCCCAGACAAAACCCACAAGGTCCAAATTCATTCGAAATTAAAAATTTCAACTATAAAATGGGTGGGTAGAGAACCACATGGAGTGGTGATGAATTCCATCAGCCTCGATTTACATTTCTTACTGTCGCACTTAGTGCACTCAAAAGACCTCTACGGTATAATGTGGCCAGGCAAATAAGCCACCAATTTGGTGATACTCATGTCTGTGTTTTTAAATCGTAGACTAGCTCACTGGCTAGTGTTAACAGCAGAAAAACTTGCTGGTTCGATCAGATCACCTTCTCTTCATGATTTTCTCATCGGTTTCCCCTGATATTTATGCTGTAGTGGTCACTGTTATTGACCTGCTTTAATATTTTTGACCAATACCACTTTCAGGCTTTTGCTAATCTACGTTTTAATAGTTGTCTCAAATTTAAAGCGCATGATGTTGTCATAAATCCACTGGAGACATCCAAGACTCCTAAAACATGTGTATTTTCACCAAACTTTATTTACAAAACACTGGCTTTGACTCCAATCTTTTCGATGTTGAGCTCTACTACTGTGCTAAAGCGTAAATAAAGGGTTGTCATCGAAAGTCAGCCTTCTTATGTTCTTAAAATGCCTCTGAAATCGGTCTGTTTTTCTGATTTCCTGTACTGGTTATTTGCGTAACTCTAAGGTGGTAACATGTCTTCCACTGAAAGATTGCACTGATCAAACCACGCTTTCGTTGAGTCTAAAGTAAGAAATAAAAGCGTCTTGGGTCCATAACTGGGCAATCATTAAAAGCAGCTCCGCACGGTGCACGATGACAACAATGGAAGAATGATTAACCTGCAACACATATCTAATGCAATTCAAATAAACCGGTGGTAAATACATTGTATGACTTAAGGTAAACTGGTGTTGCGAATGTGTATGAACGGGAAAGCAAAGTTTGAGTATGATGTGAGGCTGAGGACGAAAGTGGGTCAATTGTTTTGTAGGCAGACCAATGACAATGTGCAAGGCCTGGCGTTAATGAGTCGAAGTTAAAGATTAAAGTAACGCTGCACATTAACAAGTAGCATCTTTGTCGGTATGGTATATTTGATGGATCTGGCTTCAGCTAGAACAACAGCTTTGTTCTAAGTCTGTCGAATCTCGTCAATCGTTATTTAATTCTTTTTATTTTTCGCTATTTGTAGGAATATATTTGGACTATAATAACCGATTATTTGCCATCTTCAATTGTCTAATCCGGCCACTTCTTCATTCAATCAAATATATGATCACTAAGTTGGTTGCATTTTCTCAAATCACTTCGGTTCACTGGTTATGCACAATTTAAGGACTTAGTGGTGGTCCATCGTTTGGTAATGCTATTAAAACTTGCGGTAAATCGCCTACGACCTCTCATTGGTGTAAAATTGATGAACATTTATGTAATCTTGAATTTTGACCCAAGAATTTGTGGTGAATTAAACCACTAGTCTGATGCTATCCACGGCTGCAGCAAAATTAGGCAGATTTGAACAACAAGTCGATACTGTGCCCCGGATAAGTATGAGATTGCCTTAGATGTTTGTCTAGTTGTGTAGTTTTCTTAACAACCTCTTGGACTCTAGTGTAATTTCTCTACGGAACAGGAAACACCCAACAAGCTTTGTGCACGTGTATCCCGTTGAACCCCTTTATAATTTTACCTCCTGGAAGCAACTCGCTTGTAACAAGATCCAAAAAATGAGGATTTACGTCTTTTAAGTTATGTGGTGTCCTTGGTTAATCCACTCGCAGTGGATTTCGCCGTCAACTGGGATCGTGGTTTTATCGCAGTTCCATCAAGTCCATCCAACTGTCGTGTTACGAGCCGCTGATTTGTCCGGATGGCTTGCTAACCTCACCATAGTAGCCCAGTTTTCGTAGGGGGTATTTCCTATGAGGCTTTGAGCAGTGCATTTTGCTCCAAATGTGCTGAGGGAATTTGCTATGTGTGTGACCGTAAGATTGTTGCTGTCTAGTGGATGTTGTGCTAAAAAGTAGACAATACCACAGGGTGACGTAAAATCACCGAATCACTTTTCATTTCACAGCAGCCGCTGATACTAAATCCCTATTTAGTATATCAACTGTAGTATGGCATTTGCGTTGAATATCCACGAAGGTTGGATTCCTCATATAGTGTTACGGTTGGAATCTATTCGGTCATCATCTTGTATAAAGAATCCCTTTCCTTTTTACAAATTTTGGATTGTCCCACCTGGGAAAAAACCTAGTTGTCCAGTTTCTATTGCTGTTGTCGTTGTTTTGCAGACCCGCACTTCATCGAGAACAACGAAGGAGAAGGTGAGACCTCATGTGCATAATTCTATACCGCTCTGTGCCGTTTTACCTCGCCTTTTGTGTTGCCCTTTAGCTCAACAAGTCTCTGACATCTACAGAGAAAGAACGAGAAAAGGTGCGTATATTTTGGGCATTGTGAAGCACGTCGTAATTGTTTCCAAATAATTTTTGAAATCTCCCGGAGTTTTTGCCCTATGGCATGGTTTCCCCTGTGTACCTTTAGCATTCGTTTTCATAAAGTCCCAAGGTAATGGTCATGCATGGGCAACCATAAAAGCCCAAATAACTAAATTGTCGTCCACGTTTGTGGGACTGGCGTCACGCTCAAATTTTCTTGTTCAGAAGGCTTGTGGTGTGGTCTTAAGCAGCCCATTCCCATCTATGGAGTATTTTGACGTTACTAATTAGCATGGCACTAATGTCTTAATGTGGGCTTGTGCCCCGCACATCCCAAGTGTCCTTGGTGGGGCATGCTGGTCGCTCAACCGACGAAAATCAGATTTTTTGGTTTGTTCATAATTCCACTTCACGCACCACTTTTCCTATTTATTTCTGAGGATGAAAAATGCCCTGCACGATTCAGGTCTTGTATAAGAAGATACAAATGCGTGCCTATCTCTGAACGTATGAAACCAAGTATTTCCTAAATTCTGGAAATCGTTTAAAGTCGTATGTGTTTACACATATAAGGTGTACCTTTGGCAGCAAATGTTAAAAGTTATTTTTAATTTCTACCCAGTTGCGTGTATGGTAAGCGTTATCATGTCAGGATTTCGGAGAGGATTAAAATCAGAATGAATGAAGCCTGCTTTGGGAAGCCTAAGAGTGACTCGTAGCGTCTAATTGAATTAAGGTGGTTCTGCATTGAAGCATCGTCTGGGCGTGTGTAATTTTCCGAGCACTGATGTATTATTAGTTTCGAGGCGGTCTCACCTGTGTAGTAGATTGATTTTTTTCAAATTTTAACAGGCCTGATTGATTGTGTTATGTCATTAATGGTTCTTGGCTTAGGTCGCCTCCGTGTGTTGTTAAATGCGCCAATCAGAATCGATTAAACAGACTTTACTAGTTAGCTTTTCTACCACTTGAGTTAAGTTTGGACCCTCCTACGTCCGAAGAAGATTGCCTTAGTAGTTTTTATGTGTCTTAGGCCGAAAAACAAGCAGAGCGTGAGCGTTTACGTGAGCAAAGGGAGCAGGAGCGTCGTGATCGTCAAAATAGACGGGAACAGGCAGAGCGCGAGAAGGAGGCCCGTCGACTGCAGCGGCAGGAGGAGCGTCGAATTAAGGAGGAGGAGCGAGCTAGACGGGAGGCGGAGAAGCGCGCTAGGGAACGCGAGCGTGAGGAGGAGCGAGCCAAGCGCGAAGAGGAGAGGCGCGCCAAAGAGCGCGAACGCGAGGAGGAACGAGCCAGGAGGGAGGAGGAGCGCCGCGTGAAGGAGGAAGAGCGTCGAAGGCGCGAAGCTGAGCGAGCGCGCGAGGAGGAGGAGAAGAAACGCAAGACGGAGAAACAGCGGGCCATTTTAATGGGGTTCTTCGTGCCACAGGAGAAGCCCACAACTCAAAGCACTACGGCAAGTGATACCTCCACCGCTGCGACACCGTTTATGCAATTTGAACTGAAAAAAGACCAGCGAAGGGCGCCCGTATGTAGAATCGAGTCAGAGGAATTGAGGCAGACGAAGTGGAAGAATGTGGAAGCCCTCAGAGTTTCGTGGCAGTCTGGCTCGCCCGCGATCGATGGATCACGACTCGGTCTGACTAAATTCGGTCAACCAAATTATCTCCATGAGCTGCGCACCGGACAAGTGAAACCACTCTCATCTGCTGCCACGTGGCCCGTGTGAGTTGGTGCAGTACTCTCTGCGCCTAGTTTTCCACTTTGTGGCTGCGTTGGAGTGGCCGTTAATTATTTCCAAAACGCGGTTTCCGCAGAATAAGAGCCAGCTCAAACATATGCTGTGGAATACTTAGTTATCCAATTATGCCTTCGCCCCACATGTGTATAATCAATTCGCTGTATCGCACTCCCATTTAACACGTGTTGTCGGCATCTTCTTGTCAGTGATTGTCTCTCTCTCGCTCTTATCACAGTGAAATGCCAGACGTCCTGTGTTCGGGCAGCGGTATGCCCTTGGACAATTCGGCCTTCCTTCGCTATAACCATGGCGATCCCGGCAACGGAGGCACGGTGTGGACCAAGGCAAAGTTGTTCCAGTTTGTGGAGAACTATCGTCCCGCTTACTATGGCACGTGGCGTCGTCGCAGCTATGTGATCAAGGGGCGTCGACCCTTCTCCAAAGACCACCTTCAGCTAGACTATGAGGTCGATTCGGATGATGAGTGGGAAGAGGAAGAGCCTGGCGAAAACATTTCCCAGTCTGAGGTTAGCGGGCATTCATTTGTCGCCACCTTCGTTGTTCTACTTACAAACTTGAGTAGCGCGGCTATTTCAATATAGAGCAGACCGTTGGATGGACAAATCTTATTAACTGTCAGGTAAAATTAAGTACTAATTCCATGCAAATATTCACGGAAACACGCGTGGTGTTGTTGCTTATTTCTTAACAGTGCAAAATTTGAACTACTTTGAGAGGCATTGTCAAAGACGATCTAAAGCCTGCAAATAACCAAGGACAATTTGTGTATGAACTTTGCATTCATGATGAAGTTTGTTCCCTTACTAGGTGAAATATGCAGAGGAACCTTTTTTAGTAGTCGACAGATTTGCTCTGCAACGTGTAAGCAAATGCTAACGACCGGGCTCTGGTTACCAATGGGCAGCTTCAATGTGTAATGCGCGAATGACTCATCTTTCGTTAAACCGTGTCACCGGAGATGCCAAGTTGATGGCTACTTCAACTTAGCCCATTTCTGTCACACTAATTGCATGAATTGTTACGGGGCCATGTTATTTTTTCCGTTTGTAAAGTCATTCCTATCCCCGCTCCAGTTTTCCACGTACCTGTTTTTTGTTTACTGTCAGTTTTTTAAATAATCTTAGTTGCATTTGGTGTTTGCTAGCGCTGATTTCAAAACATCCCGAGTATTAATGGCCTATTAGTCGGGGTGATGGAACGTTGTTAGTTGAAACACTCCACACTCATGGTTTTTGATTTATGCGATTTTGCCTATTGAGGGCGAGGTGGCCACGTTGGACGACAGGTGTTGCTGTTTTTTTTATCAAGCGTAACCACGGCTACATGTTTTGTTTGTCGTGTGTGGCTTTTCTTAAGTGCAGAGTCCTGCCATGTACGTCGAATACGTGCCACGTTCGGACAAAAACTACATTACTAATCAGTTCATGCTATCGTGATGTGATTTGACCTTCAATACATTTGTTGCCCTGAAATGTTACTACAATTTTCACTGGCTCTGTTAATCGGTCTGTTGTTTTTTAATGCATTCACGCATGCACGCATTGACTGTATGCTTGTAATAGTTGTGTAGCATGTTTTCAACCACTCTTGGGTGTACCGGCATCGACTGCTTGAATTTGGCAGTCTGACCAAAAGTCGGACGTGTTAATTGCTAGTGTTGTGCCGGTCAGTGATGAACGCGTTTTTATTCGGAGCCCAGGCGGCGATGAGTAGCTGGTCGTTTGATCAAGCGCGGTTGTTTTGCCTCGCCAAATAAAAGCCGCATTCATCCTCCTCTAGCCGGTTGTTTCCCGGCTAAGTGCATGCGGTGCAGAGTGGTGCTCACAGAAACCAAGTGAGCTTCTTGGGTGCATGGGGGAGGGTGTGTGTTGGTGGCGGTCGTATCCTCAGCCGCGACTCCTTTGGGGAACTGCCCCTCAAGTGCTGCAATCCACCTCTATGCCTCTCCTGATATAATTTATGTGGTGGTTAGATTTTCAGCGCAACAGGCGAATTCGCTCATGTTGTGAAATTGATGAACTCTGGTCGAATGCATTCTTCGGGAGTGGCAACTTGTATTTAAGATCGCTTTTTGGGCGTCTCCGCACTAGGATTGTAATTAGTCACCATAGATCAACTTGCAATGGTGTGCTTTGGCCTTTAATGCCATTGACGGCAAAGTAGAACAGTAAATAGTGCGTTGGAATTTTATTGGTGCACCGAAAACTCGCTTGTCATCATTACTTCCAGTAAACCGAGTTTTCAACTTCCAGGAAAAGGTGACGGGAATCTAAGGGACAGAAATTGCCCAAAAAAATTCGAAAGGTTGCGCTAGAGCCGACTTTTTCTACTTGCTCCTGTCGGTAGACTGTATTTAAAGCTATTCAAGGCGCTTGAGGCTATGGTAGCGTCACTTTTGCTGTATTTACGCCAACATTTTGAACTGTAACTTCCTCTATACTGTCCTTCCGTCTTTTCGTTGATAGGGCGAAGAGGAAGAAGACTTAGATGATGACGACGATGAGGACGCTAAATTCCTGGTTCCACACGGTTATCTCTCTGACGACGAGGGCGTCCGCGGTGATGAGGATGAGGAGGGCGGGGCCGTTGCCAGAGGCGCTGGTGACGCCGGAGAAGCCATGGAAATGAAAAAACTCCGCCAGCGTCTCTCACTTGCCGAGTACGAGACGGCACACCGTCGAGGTCTGCATAAGCTTAAGCCACTCCTCCTGGGGCCAATTTGGGCCAAAAATCCGCTTGGGGCGCTGCAAGAAACGAGCGCGAATGAGTGGGTCACCCATGAAATGGACGAGAATAAGGAAAACATTTCTGTAGCAGATCCTCTGTTGTCCGCAAAGGAAACCAAGACCACTAATCACATCTCCGCGTTACCGTCAAAGGGCGAATTCGATCTAATGCGCTCCGTACTAAACGCCTACAAGGTTTGTGTTGATTTGCTAGGAACGTTTCTTTCGGCCCGCACACCTTCTGAGTTTAAATTTGAGTGGTACTGAATGCATGGCTTGTCGCCCATTAGCTTGTGCTTACAATGGTGTCTTGTTGGGGCATTTGAGCACTACAAGGGATCACGTAAATTTTCTTGGTCCTCTGTTCCCTTATTCGGATCTTTAACTTTAGTATGTTCCTTCCCTATTCCCCATTGTGATGTCAGTAATCCCTTAGATAGGTCTCACAGTTTGAAGTTGGTGAGAGTCAGAAAGCACGCGGTACTTCAGTTTACGCAAACTGCGACATAACTGACGACTGAGTGTGGTGGTGGTGGGAGGTTGAGTTTCATCAAAATAATTCAAGTTTGTGCAGTGTCCCCGCTTGGCGTCTTACCGTGTCATTTGTGTCTCGTGGCCTCAGTTCTGTTCTGCTTTTAATCCACTGCAGTCGCAATCCGAAGTGATGCTGGTTTAACGTTGTTGTCGCTTCAGTATTTCGACCACCATGCTACGTAGTATTAACTATTACTCATTTTTCGAAGCTCTGGTTTAACGTAAACAAAGGGATTTTGAAAAAGCATTGCTGCCTGGTTACTGACTCCAAGCAATCGTCTCAAATAAGCATCAGGCCTCTTATCTTAGCTAGACACTTAAATGAAGTAAACAATTTAGTGGCTATTTTCGGTCACTCCTTATGCAAGAACGCTAGATTATAGGTTTTGAAGCGGACAACAATTATGCTTAGTTCCAAGCTAGAGTAAATAGTGTCCCTGTGTTTCAAGATTTCGCAACAAAATACTTCTTTGTTCGCGTAAAGGCTTAAACTGACTAATTTATTGTACAAAGACACATTTTACTTCATAACCCCTTTATGACGATCTAAGTGGCGAAAATTCGCACCATCTCAACTCGACGTACAAACAAGTAACTTGTTCTTCTGTACTGGGTACCGTTTAACCAAGCATTAATGCTGTGTGTGTAATCGGGGGCTTTTTGTTGATATCAACGGTGTATGAACCAATCTCAGAGCATTGTATCTGATCGGGTCATTTGCCAATTATGTCAGACTAGGTTAGTTCGCCTTGTTTTGTTGAAACCACTCGCGACAACCTTTTTTGTAAATACTTTTAAGCCCTCCTGCAAACTTTCAAGTTGATAAATGCAACTACATTCCCTCCAGGTCTTCTTATGGAGTGACGCCTTGCCCATCATTGCCCAAAGCGATGTCGCCATCGAAAATCCCTCCACAGGTTCTAAGACACCTGCATCTGGACGAACTAAGAAGCAATTTCCCCCCGAGGGTGAGCTGGTGTGGAGATGTTGCCTAGGATTTTTCAGTTCGATTCTAGCTTGAATTTGGTCTGGTCGAGTCAACCTAAACAAGAGTTGACAATTCTACCAAGTTTGATTCATGTGACCTTATATCCAGATCCTACTAATTCAAATGCTATTTAGTGTAATATCTTGGTGAAATCGTCTCATCTCTTATGCTTCGATTTCCTTTCGTGGTATTTGAGAAGTGCAATTTGCATTAAAGCGGTAAAACCATTTAGATGAATTGACCAATCACTGGTTGAGTGTCCTTCCCGTGTCCGACTTCAGAATGCCCCGGTTCTATTCCCTCAATCAATTGCTATTTCGGTGTGGCTGTGTCCTGCGTCATCAACTTTATCCACCGGCACCTGCTTTCAATGTAGCTATCCACGTTAATGGCCGATTTACCTTATTCAGTAACTTTGTAGTGAATCTGAGCATGCTTGCTATTGCTTTACAATTTAAACAGTAGGTTGTTGGACATTCGAGCTGTTCAGGTAAGCGTTGAGTAGAATTTGTCAATTCTGTATCACGTTTTGCCGATTTGGACCAGTTTCAAATCCCCGTCAGGATAGATTTCAACTGAATCCGTTGCAACTCTCCCCTTCCAGCCATCCCTTATCTGATCCGACTAGTCCACAAGAATTCCTTGAGCAAAGTGAAGCTGCAGTTCGAGTTCCGTGTCTTTTGGCTCAAGCATACGACGGACGAACCGGTGCCAAATTGTTGTCTCAGCTACAAGGAGTACAAACAGCGGCCTGAAGCCGAGTCGGCTGCTACCCCTACTGGAGACACTGCGACCCCACCTAATCTCCGACGGCCACAGGCCCAGCGGATGCAACCAATGACAACTCTCCCCCTGTCCAAGAGACAAACCATGGCCAAGATCTGCGAAATTGCAGTCTTCGAAGATGGCCAGTATGTTTTTCCAGCCAAAACCTGTACTATAACACATTGGTAGCCTCCATTGGCAACTTCTTTACATCCCTCCTCCAGATTACCGATTCACTGACAATGACTTCACTGTAGTAGGTGGGGCTTCATCAGTTTTTAATTTTAAACCATCACTCAGCCAGTATTAGTGACATTGTTACCTTGTCAAAATTAACAAGGCATCGGGTCCCTAATGTGCACCTTGTCTGCGATTTTTAAAATTAGCTTCATTTTTAGAAGTTCGTAGCCAGTGCATCAAGTGTTGTTAGATTTATTTAACATCTTGACTTTGTAAAACTAAATAACTTACATGAACTCAGGCAACGACGCTTTTTCTATGAAGGTACCTGTAGCTAAGGGGGTACTCTGATTGCATTGATAATAAGGACGTGTGCCAGTAAATTTTGCAACAGGGTCCTGGAATATGCAATTTTGTAAGCAAAATTTGCTTCTGGGACAACTCGTAAATGTGTGTAGCGCTTTAGCGGCTGAAAATGCGGAACACATGTGTCACCTCTCTGTGCTTTGTGCACCAGAAACACACACTCTTTTGCCGCACACCTGTAGACTTGGGACATGATATGCTCAAGAAGGTACAGAAAGACATGAACTTGTGTGGAAAGGGATTGTGCATGACGTAAAAACGGAGTTTTAACACAACTGCCGAGTCAGCTTACAGTGGAATTTCGGGTGGCCTTTTCGTGTGACTCCATTGGCCCAGATGACAGTTCAATTGTGGATTGTATTTTCGCCAGGCGCGCTTTATCAATAAGAGCCCATTTTAGATGGCGAGTTCGTCCGGAGGTGTTGGAAGCATGCAAGGCCGCTGTTTTGGCCCCCACAGGTCTCCCAGAGGCCTCTGAATCCGTCATGCCCATCACCGACCCCTGTTTCTCCTTCCCTGCCTGGTCCTATCTCACGGACGTGGCCACCTTCACTAATCGTAGGTCACTGCAGTCATGTCAGGCCACTGCAAGTACTACACCAACGTCTCCCCACCCTCCTCCTCCTTGTGGTAATCTGACATCGCCTTCGACCGGGACACCTCCCATCGCCAAGCGTCTGGCAACGACTGAAGTCTCAACGACGCCACCGGTGGTAGCCAAGAAGAGAACTACCCTGGAGACTTTCTTCGCTGCAGCCCCGCCATCCGCAAAAAGGAGGAAGGACGATGCCTGATCGATGTTGAATCTCAACATTATGCAACAAGCCAAACTTTCCACTAATTCTACAACATGTTTGTGTGAATAAAATGCTTTATACTGTACTATTCATTGCATTTATACTGTATTGCTTTAAACTAAGGGAAGGGCTCTTTTGTGTGGTTCTGTACCAGCGTCGCCTATCACCCCGTCCAATCTAGGAGTCCCCTATTGCCTTTTCAATGGGTGTACTTTTATTAGGGGTGTCCTCCTTCACCTGAGGCTTTGTTTTGGCTGTTTTGCCGCAATTTCGCGCCTTAACTACAACAATGGTGGGTTAAGGGCACTTTACTGGATTATTTCCTGCCTCGAACACAAACACCTGCTCATTAGTGCACGTCGCAACCCACGCGTGGCAGCATTTCGTCTCGCCCGGGTCATAGTGTAGTTCAGGTGATTCTCCATCCAGCTATGCGTTTTCTCACAGCCCCTCGGCTGTGTATAGAATCCCCACAGTAAGCCAGTGGTATCTTCCTGAACAATAATCGACTTCAGGCTTTTCATCGATTTAGACGGTGATTTGAATGTCTCCTTCTTGCCCCGGTGTTACTGCTGCGCTGCTAAACCACCACGCCAATACCCTACGATCCTAACCGTCTTGACGGGAAGACTCCAGTACCTCATTTTTTCCTTAGAGGTCGATTGGTTAAACTGCAAAGTTTGAGTCCACAAAATTTCGGCCATCGGTCGAGGTTGCTGGAGCAAACAGATCCGACTCTTACACATCGCGATGTCATTCAGATCAGTTGTCATAAGTCTTAGTAATGGGGATGCATGATCACCCACTGACTAGATGGTGTGCCAGGATCTCTCCCACAGATGTCAGATTGTGTGTGTTAATTCCATCAAAATTTATGCGAATTCATCTTTTACTAACTACCTTTGGTTTACATAGCAACTGATACAGCGGGACCCCTTACCGCAGTTGAATTCGCTCATTTATATATTTAAACTTCTTGGATTTATCACCGCGTCAAGATACTTTTTGCACAAATGATACCTCTGAGGACTCAGGGGTCAAATTTTTATCATAAACTAATTTTTACTCACTAGAATTCATTCATTTTCGCTGCACAATGTCAAAATTTTTACTCGAATCGAATTGCTTCTCGGAAGTCACATCATTAGAGCGTCTTTGTCAACCGGCGTAGCCACCACGTGTGGTCCATGTTGACCGAACGCTTTGTTCAGAGTCGGTCATTCACAAAGGAGGTGTGGTATCAGCAAACTTAACCCCAGCGAACTCGCAAAGATTCTCGCATCTGTACGTGTGGCGTCGTCTATAGTTCGTCAGAATCCTTCACTCCACGGTGCAGAACCAACCGTAGGTAAATGGGTCAGCACCAGCATCAACAAGAACCTCAGCAACCTATTCCCATAGTGAGATCAAACAAACACGGAAAGTGACCCGATCAATCCACAGCCACTATGTAGCTCACTAATCAGCTCAATCAATGAAACTACAAACATGCTCGCCTCGTTTGTCTGTTTGCGATTGGTTGCCTTCAGCCCACATTTGGTTCACTCGTCTAAATTTAGACCCAACTCCTCATCCCACATGATAACAACGCAGCGCAGTCTTCTTACCACCTCCAAAGCTCTTCAGGGCTACCAGGAAACTCCGTGAAATTCATGCTTTCGCATAAGTTAAGTCAACACTTGGGAGATATTTACTGCTTTTTATTCAAATGTGTGCTTGCTTTTACTTCTCCACTAGTTCATTTATTCGGCTTTTATTTTTCGCCTGAATGAAAACCTCTTATTTAACTCATTGTTTTTCGGTTTTAAGAAAGAAACTGAACTTAAATTAACAATCTTGTTGAGTGGTTAAATTACGCAGATTTAAGTCATTTTAAATCGAATCTATAAATTATATCATTATATTTTGGCGATCAACCACCAACAACGTTCACATCACTTTCGCCACATCCGCAAAGCGGTTTAATCTAGCCACAAAAGAAACGTGTTATATGGTCAGTTTTCCACAGAAATTGAGAACTTAGGTTTTTTTCACGAGGCGCATTTGAACAAATTTTGGTTTAATGGTCACTATACAATACTACTAAACTATGCGCTGCCATGCTTTAGCAGTAGGAACTATGGGCGGAATGACAGCAGCCACTTTAAGAGCTGCCCTTAGGCTCGTTTGAGTATAACTTCTGGGTTTACCTGCTGTCCGAAATACTACCGAGTCCGGGCACGTTGCAAGTTGCATTAGCGTCAGTTACTGCACATTCTGGACGCGTGTTAGACTAGCGACTAGCTTATCGTTCTACGGTAGTATCGACGAGCATGAAGGTTGAAAACTTGGCTGTCTGGGATGGTTAAGGTCACGCAAGGCGAAGCAACACTCTCAATTCTGGGCTTGTGCTTTAATCGGAGCTAAAGGCATTCACCATACACCAGGCACACGGGCCAGGTGTCCACCGTTATTTAACCAATCAGGAGCATTCCAACTATTTGGTAATCGATCTCACGACATCGCGAAGACTCTATTCACAATTTCCTTATAATTAATTTGGGCTGCAGGGCTTTACGCCAGTGAATAAAGTGAGCGCGTTGGACGTAAATCTCCCTCTCTGAATTACAGGGTACGCTGTCTGGCCAAGGATGCCAATTGACGAAGGACGCATGTTTTGATAGTTGCGTCCCCACATTCCAACTCCGAACCTCCAATCACGTGCACGGTCACTGAGTGTAACTTAAATCAATGGTAGGAAACCGTTTCTATCCGATATCACAGTCCCGTGCCTCGGAGTGGGGAAATTCAATTTAAGCACAATGATTTCACTTAACAATGATTAGTTTTGCCGTTGAATGTAGCAGGCATGAGGTTGTCCACCCAATACTTGTTCGGCAATGCAGGTAGGCTGTCGTTGAAACCGGCACACTGAAATGGAAGCCCATGTAAATACTTGGAGAGCGTGGCTACAAATGCTAGCCAATTATACCAGCCGTCAAACCCCGGATCCCATCTCTTATTCATAATATTTTGCGTCCTATTAAAAATCGGGGCCATTCCTGGTGAGTCATGATTATACCTTGGGGAGGTTGGGAACAGCGAATCAACTGAGAAGTGTAATTTAAAATTCACCAGCATCAGTCGTTGTGTAAATTCTCCCACTTTTCCGTTCCAGGCGAATTTAATGCATGACACTACTCGTGTAACTTATCCCACACGCATGCATCGTCCTTTGAAGAGGCAACTGTTGGGGCAGAGCGACTGTAGTGCAAATCATTAAATGTCACCTACAACACTAAACTTTCCGCTGCCATGACAGCTGCTGTTGCTGGTGCCGATGGTGGTTGTAGTGACAGTCTTCTTTCGGTTCTGCACCCCTTCCCACACGCACACACACGCACACCTACGCCAATCCGTCCTGCGTTAACAACACCTCTGGTGCGTGAACTTAAAAGTGTTTGCATGATCGGGGTGACACCGCCACTTAGCAACAGTCGCGAGAACATAAAAACTGTACAATGTGGCTTCAAAACCGTTGGTGTCGCCCTCTCACTGGTCGAGAGGAAACACATGTCGCCTCATGTCACCGCCTCATACTTGCTTCCCCTGTGTGTTCACAGCTTACGTGTAAACACACACTCACACACACTCGAGTGTCATATATTATTGGTCTTTATGACTATAAAGTGACTTCTTCTCTTTACCAGACTGTTGTGACAACTGTCAAGTTCCAAGTTTGGGGCAGTCATGGGGAATGTCATGACAATCAAGGGATTGGCTGTTTTCTCGGTCTTTAGTCACCTCAAAAGAATTGTATCAAACTTAAACATTTGCATTATTGGGATTTCAACTCTGGACACTAGCCTATTTTATGATCAAATGCTTAGTTTGGTTTACCGCATTTTTTAATTGTTACCACAGGACCTTGGAAAGCATCAAAAAATATATCGAAAAAGCTGCAACTCAAATACAGGAAGTCTGGGTATTTTCGTCAGTTATGTCGGAAATGCTAAGTTAATTAATTGCAATAAGGAAAGTACGAGAAGTCGGCTTTTTTGCTGACGGGGCAAAATGGACGGAGCACCACCGCGGTAGTTCCTGAGTACCTCAAACCTGTTCTCTTGATGGTAACCTTTCAGGCATTAATGAAAACCTGCAAGATTGTTGGCCTTTTTACTTTTACAAAAATAAACGCATTCGCGTCTCAGACTTTTTATGGAAATGTGAGTTGAAGCGGGAGAATTGTAGTTAAAGAAGATCAACGGGATTCTCTCAGTAAGCCATCGTTTCCTCAGAACCTACATCAGAATTTTGTGGCAGTTAAAAGTCGTTGTTTATTTGGCTGCCAGTTTAGCGCTGAATTCTTAAACAGAGCATCGGAGCTAAAAAGTACATTCCTATCTCAGCATCTGAACGTGGTTGCTTTTGTGGTAGTACGCTTAAATTGAATAAGTTCACTCTAATGCAATCTCAAGCCTTCCGAAAAGAGAGGTACATTCAAAAAAGGGCGTTCCACTAATTCAGGATTGACCTTTCATTAGCGTCCTGGAACCAACTCCTGTGCGAGATTCTTTGAGTCTCGCTAAGAGAGAATTTTTTTATCGGACTAATTTAGTTAAAATGGCATGTCGAAATCACAATTATTTGCCACAGCTCTTAGTAGCACCACCACATTGATATAAAGCCAGTATTTCCGTCATTACTCCCTGTCCAAGCATTTAAAGCATTTAGCTGCCTCCGGAAACGCTAGTAAAATTTGGAAAATGACCAAACTGACACGTGGTCGTACATAATGATGCGGCAACAGTTAAGTAGTCAACGCTCTTAGACTGTTTACATTAATTGCATTCGATGCTCTTTCAATTAGAAGGCTTTAAAGGCGAGTGCGCTTTTGCATGGCACCACCCAATCACGAGGTCAGTTATAAGCTGATGTGCGTACCAATCACTCGCGTCTGCGTCTCTCTTTATCGCTTCAATTGGCTACCTTAGCCAGTGCCCATGAACAGCAAAAGACTTTCATTTCTGACTTTGCAATGAACACGGGTGGGAGCAAATCTGATGTTTGGAGACCCTCAACCACGATTAATAGCGCACTTTTACCAGAAGATTATTCTAACTCATCTCTAGGGGCCATTAAACCTCAGTCTACTTGGAGCAGTGTTGAACCAGATTTGGAAACCCACAGCTTCTCAGCGGCACCACTTGACTTCAGTCGATTTCCTCTTCCTCCGAGCAACCTGTGCCACTTTGGGGTATCGACGTCGAAGGCGATAGCGAGATTCCTCTTAGCCACAAATGCCATGGCCCAAGTGTGCGCCACGGGGTTACCCTCGGTGACGACGCCGCAAACGACCACTGCACCAGCCACATCATGTAGCAACAGTGGACAGAGATATGACAAGAATCTCTTCAGTATTGCTGATCACATTAAGAATGATGCTAAGGGGGAAAACAAAACCAACGATAGGAACGGGAGCAAACCAAGTAAGTCTAGTAGTGATGACTTGTTGATTATACTTAATATAAGATATTTGATCGCTAACAATCAACACAGCTTGGTACAAATTTTTAACACTTTAACTAATGGAAAGTTGACTTCCATCGTAGAAATGTATGTTTGTGGTGTCTTAAAACTATAGAATTGTGAATTCTAGTCTTCAAGTATCGCCCTGGTGGCCTAACGTTCCACTCTCTGCGATTTTCACGACGTCGTTTGTGAGGCTTGACAATTGAGGTTAATGTTAGGACTTCGTAAGCAGACCTGGAGTGCGCAGGTCTCAGGAGGGTAGTAGTTTACACCCACCGAACATATTAAAAGAGAGGGGGGTAGGAGGCGATTGAACAACTCGAAGATTGGCGAGTGTTGTGTCGTCCAGTCCAGCCGTCTAGACCGGTTTTGCACGGAACCGGTGAACCAGCTGTTTTTGAGGGGCAACCAGTTTTTTTTTGAATTGGGGTTTAAGAATGCCGCAGTTGATCGAGAATTCACAATTTAAAAAGTTTCGTGCTGTCGGTGCAATGGTTCAGAATACTAACCATAATCTGGTCAATGAATTAAATCAATCACGCCATGTAAGGGCACCTTTTTTGACCCAACCCGGTTTTCGCATTGTGTGTACCGTAAGAACCAAGTCGCTCTTTTGACTAGGCAGCAAGCCTTCTCTTATTAACTCAACAGGCATCAGCCAAATTCGTATATTAAATAGCTTGAAGACTTCTTCACAATGTGCGAGGGAGCCTTTCATTCCTCATTCCCATTGTGTACTTGTTCACATTAACACCAGCTCAGTGTCGAATGTAGACCCAGTTCATTTTACTGACACTGAGTTGTCATGTAATGTAAGCTTAATGGAACGGAGACCACTTAATAGGTTGATAAGGCATGATGGGCGAAAATACAATGAAGACACAAGATTTCCCTCAACCCGATACAGACATGATTGCGGATCAATTTGTCAAAAAGCTCGTTTACTGTGGTTCAAGTTGGTAATCGACAGTCAAGTTTTCTTTTTATTGATTATTCCGTGGTCTTGCACGCTCCTGGAAAGCGTCCACCACACGACCTCCAGGCTTTCCAGGGTGACTAAATGACACCGCTCCGCTGCTGCTATCTGCATGAGGTATTGGCCAGTGCTAATGGATGGATTAGGCGTTCGCAGTTAATTTTGACGACTTAAAAAAATCGTGGGATGAAATTTGTCTTGGGAATCGCTCGTAACCGATTGAAAACTCACTTTGACTGTTGTTGAAGGACAAATTTAAAATAAATCAGGGATCACAAATTACTAACACATTTCTCTAGAGACACCTGACTGGTTGTATAGTGGAATAACAGAAATTCTACTTTAGCACTTTCCTCATTTTCCAGTGCGCAAAAGTCTTGCGTGTTCCTGCACATCTCTCTGTTTCTGTTCTGAATTGGTGAAGTTCCTCATTTAGCGGACTGCGTTTAAAGCTTGATAGTTAACCACCCTAAGCTACCACGCTGAAGGCCACGGCGACATAGATTACCAGAATTGCAACACACGTTCTGTTGGCTTTTTAAGAGGGAACCATATCCACACACTCTAATCACGTCTCTCACACCTCACTTAAAGTAGATTGTCTTCAAGAATCCTTCTCTGGGAGAGGCTTAACGACAGAAATCGAACCTGATCTTGGAATGAGTAAATATTCAGGAGTAAACAACAAACACCCATATTATGCCTCACTGTTATACCAACTACAATTGCTAATCCTGGAGCATCAAAAATGTCAACTGCTGCAGTGCTATGAATGGACGCCCCTTGAGGATGAGATTAGGGTGTGTCCCAGATAAACGCACAATCACGCCAGAGCGAATCAAAGTTTACTGTGAGCATACCTACCGCACTCTGCCAACAACCCCACCCAGTCCCCCCGCCTCCCCCCCCCACATTCGTGATGCACACGGACAGAGAGAGAGAGAGCAGTCGTTGTGGGGCGTCAGAGCAGATTGCGCACGGCCGATAACTCCTCACATTTTGAACTCTTAACAAAGAGACCACCTGGTGGGCGGCACACTTGGAGCGGCCGAGCCCTAGGGATGGACCGGAGACAGTCGGTTCGTGCTGGGTGGCATTCGATAGGGCTGCCGTCATTGTTGATAATGGTGGTTTCACTAATTAGTCGATCCAACGGCATATGGCGGCTCGAAAGTGAAAGGGGTGACAACATGTGACAAGTTGCCCCCTCCCTTCACCGTCTACGTGCATGCGTGTTCGCTGTGTATGCATGCGCGAGCACAACCCACACATGCATGGGAGCTTAGTGATGTCGCAGAGTTAGTGGTTTGGTGGGAGAGCCCAACAAGGAACCGGAAATTTGCTTGTCTATATAACTTAAACAGGCCTAGCAAAGGATCATATATTCCAAACTCATTCCCGCCGTTTAACACCACTTATTCCCTTTCGTCTTTTGAATTTTATGGAAAAATAACCACGCTGAGAGTTGGCCTCACAAAAAAGTCCTTTGACAAAACCCATAAGCGCAAAAGTAGCGGACATAATTCCCTCAGTCAATCCGATGCAGACCTTTGAGGCAGTCACTAAACCCGTCCAAAGCATGAAACTAGCCTGTAGCCAATAAACGGTTGATTTCGACATCAAGGTCTAATGCTTTTCTTGTAAACATACCACCTCACTTCCAAGCAATGACGCCTGATACACTTTTCATGTTAATCTTCTGTATTTCCTATTGTTTCTGCGAATATTTTGCCACCGTTTGGGGAATTTTACGAATCCGCGATCCCAGAACCCCGGTCCTCATCAACTTTAACCAGAGCCAAATGCAATTTCGGGTCATCGTCGTTAGTACCTGCTTTACCATTAAGAAAGTTTTGCAATGGTCGATATAGGTGGAAACTAGGCTAGGCTTCCGTAATGCTCTACGAGTTTTCAAATGAGCACGAGGTCCAGGTGGACGATGATTTCTTTGTGGTTGGCTGATTCTGGTTGCTTTGCTTTGAGAGATTGGCCCAATCTCCTTAGTTTTTAGCAGCAACTATCCAGATCGCTAGATAGGTTTAATCAGAACAACTCAAAATGCGCTGCATATCTACATTCCAACCCACTTGACACCGTGGTGTTTTCGATGCGATTCAGACTTTGCTAGTTCATCAGGCTTAGGCCATGGTCGCTCTCGGTTGATGAAATTGCAGACGATCCAAACTTTGCCATCATTGGTAGTTCATCGCATTAAAAACCGATTGCATGATCGCGTGACAACTATCCGATTTAGCTGTGGCTTTGACTTGGTCATTAGTAACCTCTAGATATGCACCAAGTTGTCTGCAACGTCTAATGAAAAAATCCCCAGAAACGAATTTATGAATCCAGTGTATGCCAAGTTCAACAACCGGCACCGAATATTTTTTGCACCATTTTGTGACTCTCAACAGCTTCATTGCTTATGCGGAAATAACAGGTGCATCACAAATGTTCATATTTTGTATTTCATGTTAAAATTTAGCATAAATTAGTAGCTGCAAGCAAAATTTGCCGCAAACATGGGGGTATTAGCCTCGTTTTGGTAGACATGTTCGGCGCGATTTGCGTTCGAAATTCCTCAGAATGACGAGCTTTTAGGGCGATGCTAGTTACCCCGTAGGTAAGTAATAGAAGTTCTTAATCTGGCTAACTTAACTTCACTTGTGTGTCACCACTAAGAAGCGGTCAAGCAGCAGCATCAGCTCTCCACACATAGTTTGTTGTGCACCTCCGCCTTTCGCACAACGGTGTGGTTACTGTGGGATTCTGGTCAGCTCTGTAAACCAGCCCAGAATTTGTGAACCGTTTGCAAATACAGACGACATGTGGGAAAATAAGAAGCGAAACAGTAGACTATGACAGCTTATTAGTATTCTCGAGGGAAAAAATTGATGGGCCATGTTAGAAGAAATTTGAAATTAATTCCTGCGTAGTATTTGCCGCCGTCTAGTGGAAATGGAGTGCTTTAAAATATATCCACTCGAGAAGTCATTACGTTTCTTTTGTTGACTTCAAAGAAGCTGCAAATTTTTTTAGTTTTTTTAAGTTATTTAAAGTTTCGACAAAATTTTGGGTTGCATAAAGATTCAGACTGTAAAGTGGTGACCACTCAAGCCCATAACATGGGCCTAATTATAAATGGTACTTCGATGTCTCTAATCATGAATTACATTAAAATGCTGCTTGGCGTTCTCTTTCAACCACCCTTATATCGTACATAGTTATTGTGCAAAAGTATCAGCCTAAGACGCCATGAACTCATCGTCATCAACATCACTTTGTGCTTCAGTGCATAGTTTTAAGCACGACGCTTATTCAAGACCTTTCGCCATAAACTCTGCAATCTCCCTTATGTGAATATGTTTTCCCTTTCAACTCACTACCGCTTCAGTGACTTCTAACTTTCGATCACACGTACTAGGCACTGTCTTCAAAGACCACATCAGCATGCCAGATCGGTTTTTGTCGATTAAACAAAGATTCCGAGGCAGAGTAGGCTTCTCCGAGTTCGGCAAATGCATCTCCTTCGAAGAGATTGCATTACACTCAGAAGGGTGTCAGCTGATTTGATGGATTAGCCCGTTTAAACAGTTGTTCATTCCAATAAGGTAGACAGAACAAATTCGTAGCTATGACCACTTGGTGGCAGTGGTGCATGCTCGCCTCGCACGAGGTCCGGCCCACGTTTTTAATTGTCAGGAGGTGGTGACGATGTGCGAAAGAGTGGGTGGTCGTAAATCTTTGCGTCGGTGTTAGATAAAAACACATAAATTAGGATAGACCACAGCACGCATGATCAAGCCGGCTAATTGATTTATAACTGCACGTTTGAACATGTGGGCTTGTAATACACAGCTGCCCGCATCACATTTCTTATCAGGCAAAAATAGTATGTTCACGTATTGTTTATTTTTGCCCACTCGGTGCTCGGACATGGCGCATGACTTTGTCAACGCTAATCCTAAGAGACGCCTTCACGTATAAAGTCGCATTCGCGGCTGGAACAAAACAGCTTGCAGTCCGATTAGTACCCATGAAACACCCAGTACCAGCAGCCTACTAAATGGACACACACAGAATGGTCCGAAATTCAGTCATTCCATTCCTCTAATACACATATAGAACGTAGGGAGCAACAACTATTTGAGTAAAGTGAATTTATAATGAGTCGGGAGAACGCGAGATTAAATGTGAATCAAATTCGATTATCACCCTATGCCAGAGAAATGCCTGATCTTAAGATATTCTATAATTAGGTACTACTGGTTTTCTTCTAGGGTATTGCTGGTATGGTAGAAACAACCTAGGTATTATAGTTACGCGAGTGAACACCCTTCATTATTCTATACAAATCGATATGACATAACTTTTCATTATAACACAAATTTATTGGAATAACCTAAATTTGTGTGCGTTGATACTTTTAGATAAGTCTTCTGTTAAGAAATCAAAGCACATAAATTGTAAATAATCCTTTACTGTGTTCTGACCATTGGAAGATGGCCGAGTTACCACCTAACAACCACGATCTCAATGAGATAAAACCAGCTTCCGGAAACTTCAAAAAACATCTAACAGTCAAGTCATTTGTCATCTGTTCATTGCAGCACTGTTTGGAATAATTAAATTTTCCAACTCACACTTCATTGACTCCACTGTTCGTCGACACTAAGTTTCTCCATTCCCGACAGATTGCGGGAAGTAACAGAAGGGAACAAGGATGTGTTTTTAGTTAAACTGAAGCATTATTTTCTCAAAATTAACGCATAAGACATGGAAAAAGCTAATGGAACTTGAGGTCATAAATATGACAAATGGATGGTTTTATATAATTCAGCTTTTCTCCTAACAACCAAAGAAAATTTTGCACTTAAGACTTGGATTTTTTGTATTTAGAGCTAGAATTCGGGAGTTAGTGAGTTTGATTAGTCATGCAATTTAGTATTCCATTTTATCTATGCGGTAATGAGTTTCCGTCACAGAGATGTACAGAAATAGTACAAAATCCCGTTGTGTCAGTTATTCTGATGCTGGCTTATGCAAAATCACCGACGATCTTCTACAGAAAATTTTACTCCACACGTGCGGCTGTGACCGTGACCCTGCTAAAACTGCTTTATGTCTTTTGCCACGTTGATTATTGGAACACAACAATCAACGTGAAACTATTACTGTCATCCTGAAAGTTCAAAGGATGCCTTGAAAGGCAAGCGATTTGACTTTCGCGACTAGTCACAGCCACGGATAATTACGTTCGCGGCTTTTTTTCTCACGCTTGAGAAGTTGAGGCCAAAACTGAAGCGAACCTGATAGAATGTATGTGCCTGAGAACTTGTCATTTTGGTTGTGCATTTAAAAATTCGAAGTTGAAGGTGACGCTTAAGAGATTCAAAATAAAGGACCTCTTAATTACCGTGACTGGATGTTCATCTACCACACTGATGCTGTTTGGCGGTACTAGGCAGACCACTTGGCCGCCTGTTCCACCTTTTAATGGCAATGCGCCACTAACGCTTTCTCGAAGCGTCGCGTCGTCAGCTTATGACCGGCAGTCCCTCTTCAAGGTCGCTTAATGAGAGCTGCCCCACCCCCCTCACTTCTGTCACCACCCTCTGCCGCACTCCATCCGACGAGTTCAGTGTTGGAGTTAAAATGAATGTTCAGTCCTTAAGGGTGTCTTTTGAGGCTGCAGGGAATGATTTCCTGTGAATATGAGCAGTAATGGTCATTACACGGCTATCGAAAACCGGTCCGATTACTTTTCAACAAGTTTGACGGATGAAGATTTAAAAAACCCGCTTTAAAAACCATCAGCATCAATTGTTTTTTGATATGTTGTTTTCCAAATCCAGTTCAAAAATCCAGTCACCCATCTTGGGAGCAAATCTGTCGCAGAAGACAGTGCTGTCTATCAGCGCCATCAGGTGTATTGCTCAAGTATCATTTGGGTTTCACGGGACAAAATAAATTGAATTAAATATCCTTTAAGAAAAAAAAACCGAGGAAGGTGTATGCAGGGGTTTATTCCATCTTTGTTGCCTGGATTCGTTGCAGCAATCACTTTTGCGCAAACTCGATCTTAACTGGGTCTGCCGCTCCGGTTTTGTGGTGAATAGCTCGACGCCATTTACGACACACGGTGACGAGGACGGTTGTCAGTCAAAATGGAGTGAAATGCCAAGAGGACCACATACTTGCTGAATATTTTTATCAGTACCCACTTGGTCGCTCAGCCATGTCACGGTTCTTACAACACATCAAATAACCCCTGTCGCTTAGTTTAAAGACTCTTGCGCCCTCGTGATGGTGAGAAAAAATCGCCCTGGTGCCTGAATAACATGGAATACCTTTATCAGAAAATACACACGCTTAGGTTTACCCGCACATGCACACACGCACATCCCCCTAATAAACTTCAGAGCTCAAGAGCGAGGGCTTAACACTTGCGCGGAAGTGCCTGTGCCACCGCAAGCGAAGGCAACGCTGTGACCAACGCTGTTGGACTTCAAAAGCTTATTGCCGCCATGGGGGGTGAGTTGCGACGATTTCGTCTTTGGTGCCGGCACACTTTCATACTTGCCATCTCAAGAAAACACCCAACGAAAGCTTCGTCTCCCCCCTCCTCCACCCCACCCCACCACTTTGATTTGCACGGGCTCGCCGCGTCACTGAATCTCGGCAGTTCTCAGCGTGGACTTAGCAAAGCCTGCTTCAAGGTTGTGCCGAAGGCAACTTGAGCCTCCTCCGTGAACTGGCCATCGGTGGAAGGTCATTCGCAGAGTTTGACTCTCGCATTTGCCGTCTCACTCAAGGTTTTCTGACAGGTGCTGGACAGGTGTCCGATTTCCAAACGTCCTAGTCGATAACTGAACTGTTAGTCAAGAAGAAGTTTTTCTGAGCACCAAAAGTGTTCCCTGTCTCTGTGTTTAGCGGGTTGACAACCAGCAATTGATAGTTGTTAGACTGGAAACATATCTATCACCATAAATTAAATTTATACTTCCTCTCATGTATAGTACTCACTGTACTACCAAATGCCCTTAGATATGAGGCCCAATAACAGTCGATTTGAAGTAGATCGAAAAAAAAACGGGTCCTGCTTGTTGTTCTCGTTATCCAGACATCATGGTGATAGCACATTGTTTTGTTAACGGCAGTGGCTCATGACAAGTTAATTAACTTGGCCTGCTTGGCGCTCGATGCTTGCATTGCCTAAGCTGCCTTAACCAGTCTCTGACAACTTGGGGATTAATCTCCTTTACTTCAAACGCAAATTTAACTAGCTTGTTTGCTCAGGAAATGTTATACACTTGCGTAAGTGTACAAAATTAAGAGAAATCCTAATTACTGAATTTTAATCAAAGTAATATGATCTGTCGTTTGGTCGAACCAGTGAATGCGCACAACTTTGTTTTACAGACGAAAGTTCAAACCTCTAGCTATCAAGCTTAAAATGTTCGTGTTAATAAGTAAACTAAGTATTTAACCAAGATTAGGTGGTAACACAGTCTACTGTAGCAAAACATCCGTTTTCTTGAAGCCAAGATTTTCATCTTTTCATTCATGTCTCAGGGCTTGCTAAACAAGCTCCAAAAGGGTAGAAGTGTTCGCAACATCACACGTAGCCAACGCGCAGATGGTTCGACATAAGTGAAAGCCTAATTTGTGTTTTAGTTTGCTGTCCAATATGCCACGAGGACCTCACCTCCACGGACTTGTCGGCCCACATCTCGCTCGAGTTGGAGACTCTTGACAAAGAAACCCAAAGGTAACCTGTGGCACCTTTACACGTAACGAGATTGCATGTAGCAATTAGCTACTTTGGTGATGTTGATTTGTTAGCAGAAGGCATTCAAATTTTAAGAACGGGCGTTAACATGGTCTCACATCCACGCCTTCACGCCCACAGTCAATGTGTGCACGGCACATATCAACAGTCGCTAACTGTAATTGCCAAGCAGAATTAAAATGAGGCCTTTAAATGCTTAATTTATTGCATGGTCTGCCGAGTATGAGTAGCATGCTGAATACCGCGTTCTTCTGAATGATTGTGCCAAGACTCAAAACTCTAGCCAGAATCACCTGTTCGAACGACGCTGTAAAGAGGGAGTTATCTGTGAGCCTTAGGACAACCATATCTACCGTCTTGGGTTCCATCGTATGCTCATGTTAAGCAGTTAACCAATTCAGCATTAGCTATCAGTTTTCGTTATTGTTATTTAAACAAAGTGTGTTGGCTGGTGTGGCTGCTATTTACATCCCACTTTTAAGGGCGGTTTCTGATTTCTTGTTTACTTTTTGATGTTGGTAGCAATATTTTACAATAAATATTTTTAGGTGGCAAAGCTGGCAACCGGACCAAAGTGTTTATGAGCGCTGCGTGAGTTTATCATAGGAAACATGTGTTTACTATTCACAATAAGATAACATCAAATCTTGCCTTTTTTACTTTAGATGGCATTCCAAACGAGCGGCCTCTTTGACGAAGTCTCCAGCAATCAAAGGTTCCACAAATTCCAGCTAGTGAAACAACGTCGATTGGCAAGAAGATGTAAGAAGTACTCTATGCTTGGCAAAATTCTTTTTAAAAGATAATTGCAGTATGCAACGAAACTAAACAATTTAGACTCTACCTATCAAGCACGTATAGCGTAAGTGTTCTCAAATCGGAACGTACTCATCTAATAAGACTCTGAACATGTGTAACTGCATTTCGGAGTGTTTGAGAAGATTGGGTTAAACCCTGAATTTAAAGAAAATCGCACATATTTTATGATTGAATTTCCATTGTTTTGATGCATTTTAGTCAACTTTTCCATCAGGGATTACAGTTTTGGCATCCAGCAATGTCCCAGAGCAACTACAGGCAGTTACCCCTACGACTGCTCGACATCGGCATCCGCATTTCCAACAAAAATCAGGCGGATGGAAAAGTGAAATTACTAAGATCCTTCCTTACACATGAAAGCCCATTTTATCCAAATCACAAATCCGTATCTGGCCGGCCGGCGCTTACTGTCAAACTACTGGTATATTAATATTCAGCGAACGTTGTTCAAACCATTATAACAAAAGCGTCAGGTTACATTTGAATAATACAATACCTGATATTTTTAATTGTATGTACAAATACACCTTAGAATAGGCAGTCCAGAAGAAGTAGAGAAACTGATTACGAAAGACGGGAATAAAGGCACCTGTTTTTAATTATAATAGTTAAGGGATTTTAAGTTAGGAATGTGCAGCCGGGTATTCTGTTAATGCTAGCTGACGACAACAATTTACGAATAGGTTTGTTGCGTGGATAAAAAGCATTGGCTAGCGTCGTTTGAAATTCATGAAATATGAATACGTGGTGAATTTCGCTAATTGATAATCATCCCCAATATTTACACATAACCGTACTCGATGGACCTGGGATGGTACGTCCTAGCACTTTAACGGGACCTGTTTTACGTGCTAAGCCCTTTTGATTATGAGCCTGTGTGCACATCCAGATCCCAGCTGACTTGTAAGTGCGCACAAGCATTCACGGTGCGCTTCGGATGTCACAGAAGCATGTGGCGAGCACCAAGTGACACAGCAATCGTGAGTAATTGTGTTTTTTTTTTTATAAAAACAGATGACCAAATAGTGATAATGCTAGAGATTAAATGACGAGGGAGTCATGAAAATACGTACAAGTGACTGTGGCTTAGTTAGTACACACTCAAAAAGGTTTAAGCCATCACGCATTTCTAAGATTTATGAAAAGGGAATTTTTCGTAAAAATGTATGGCTAACATATCACTTAAAGCACGAAAGGTAATAGTACCAGCGAGAATGACCTGAAAAAAGGCTATAGCCAGAACCATGTTTCCATGTGGACCATGACAGGACTTGCGTGAATGTAACAAAATGGAATTTGTTATTTCCAAATTTAGAATACGTGTCTAAAGGAATCACTTCTCAATGAAATAACGAAGTCAAAATGTACAAATAAAAAAGTTATCTACATTTCTTCTATAACTTAATTTCTACAAATCTATTCTTTGAATTTGAAATTGTTTAAACGATGGGGCGCAAATGCCGAGAACGTCGAACAACGGGTCTACGTGAGTTACATTATCTCGCACATTAGCCAAGTTTACGATGGCAACTTGTAATGTGCCTACCGAGCGGGGAACTAAATACGGAAATGACTATTAACCCGTCCCTATTAGATAGCCACACAATCATGGTTAGTTACCAGGCAGACGATAGAATAATAACTGGAAGAACCGGATGTATTCCTTACAACCGCATACAAATTCAGAGGGCTAGAGCTTAGGCGGAGTTGGAGTGGGAAAGAGATGGCTGTAAGAGGGGTCGACGTTGCCCTCAGGTTCAAAAGCGTGCCTTGAGGAAGGCGAGAGTGCGAGAAGGAAAAGGAGGACAAAAAACAGGCCAGACCGGCGTCGTGGGTCGAATGAGAATATTCAGCACAGCATTTATGTGAATTCAAACAAGGAAAAATGTTTGTGGAACATGGGTATCAATTAATAGTGTTCCTGATGCCAATATTTTGTCATATGAAAGGTGTAATAATTAGTGAGAAAGATGCAGAAATGCAGATTCCGACATTAGTGACAAGACGCACCCTAGGCACACTGAAGTTTTAAACACGGGAAATTACATTCACCAGAATTGGCTTTCCTTAAGTACTATTTCTTCCGGTTAATGCAGCCCACCTTGGTAGATTTATTATTCACAAGGCTAAACTTAGTTATTCCGAAAAATGCAATTTATTTTCGTGATGGCATACATAGGTTTCCTGAGGGATGGCGCGAGGTTATAGAAGACAATACACAATATTCAAAAAAAACGTTTATTACACACTATTGTTTAAACAGTACTGCTAAAAAAATTTGTACATATTGAATCATGCACCTCATATAATTCAACTAATTAGAGCATTTCTGTGTAAGGTTGTGTTTAATCTGAAATGCGAAATTGTAGGCAAAAAAATTGCAATTACTTTAGCATTAAAAAGCAGGACATTCTAGTACTTACAAATTGATACGATGATAATTTTGAAATTGACGTTTTAAATCATCTGAAATTGAGCAATAGTAAAAATAATGATGATTAATCGTCGAAGAAGATCAGAAATTTGAGCAACTTAGACATTCTAATAAGACTCCGAATAACAGTTTATAGCATTTTTATAAGTAACTGATATTTACTAAACAGCGAATAGTCTATGTGCAATAAATGGTAAAACAATTCTTTTGTTTAAGCAAATCAATATTAACCTTTAATCCTTATAAACTCGGCGGCTTCTACGGAGTTTGCTTTCCGTGTGTTTGTGATGCGATTCAAGCTGTCAGTTATATTTCGGTTTTTCCTAGTATTCCTGGGAATTTGGTTTTTATATTTATACTTTGAACACTCAAATGTTCCTACTGAAATGGACTCTGAGGTGATTGGCGATGGTCTACGGGATTATCATGACTACAATTTAATGGAATTGGAAAGTCGACGCAGTGGGCCCGGTGAGCATGGAGCTCCTGTGCATTTATCGGGGGAAGAAAAAGAATTATCGGAACGTGTGTTCACTGAGAACGGGTTTTGTAGGGTAGTAAGTGATAAAATAGCCCTGGACCGAGCAATTCCTGATCTTCGTCACAAACATTGCAGTTTAAAACGGTATTCGAGAAATCTACCGAGCGTTTCTATCATAATACCAGTCTTTCAGGAGCATTGGACAACACTTTTGAGGAGCGTTGTTACTGTCACGAAGCGTTCTCCTCCAGGTGTTATTAAAGAGATCATCCTTGTCGATGATGGTAGCTTTAAAGACTTTCTCAAAGATCGCCTTGACACATACGCAGCAAAAGAGTGGCCAACTGGATTCTTGAAAGTAATTCATCACGAAAAGAGAACAGGACTTATCACGGCTCGCCTTACGGGTGCTAAGGTGGCTACTGGAGATGTTCTGCTTTTTCTCGACTCACATGTCGAAGCGGGCACAAACTGGCTACCACCTTTGCTCGATCCAATTGTCAAAGATTATAAAACGGTCGTGTGCCCATTTATCGACGTTATCGATCATGATACATTCGAGTATCGAGCACAAGATGACGGCCGTAGAGGAGCATTTGATTGGAACCTAAACTACAAGAGGCTTCCTCGTTTGCCAGATGACAAGAACCACCCAGCTGAACCATTTGACAGTCCAGTAATGGCAGGTGGCCTTTTTGCCATCAGTGCAAAATGGTTCTGGGAGCTTGGAGGCTATGATCCTGGACTAGCTATTTGGGGCTGCGAGCAGTACGAGCTGTCTTTCAAAATTTGGATGTGTGGTGGTAGGATGATTGATACCCCATGTTCCCGCATTGGCCACATTTACCGTGGAAAGGCCAACTTCCCAAGTGCAGATGCAGGCGATTTCCTAAGCAAAAACTACCGGTAAGTGATCTAACGTGTTACTGGAACTACATTTAGGCGTCTCATGGACGTTTGGATGGACGAATACAGAGAGTTTGTTTTCCAGCGAAGACCACATCTTAGAGGCGTCGATCCTGGAGATATCACCAATCAGACTGAAATCAGGAAAAGACTGCAGTGTAAGTCGTTCGATTGGTTTATGAAGACCATCGCATTCGACTTGGTGAAGTACTATCCACCTGTGATTCCCATCCCCGCTGCTACCGGAAAAATTTGTAAGGCTTCAAAACAACTCTGCATCAATGCTGGATCATCCGGTGTTATGGAACTTGGCCCACCTTCAGAATATAATGGGAAGTTCCAGCTCACTTGGCATGAAGATATAATGATTGATGGAACGTAAGTACTCACAAATTTGTAGCTTTTACAAAATGAATATTTTGGGTCTATATTTATAACAACTACGATCTCTGCATATAGCCGTAACCTTTTCAAATTATTCATGCATGTGACGTTATTAGGTCAGTAAATAACTTGAGACGAAAATCATACTTTATGAGCTTTGGCCATAGCCACGTCTCAGTTTTACCGATCTTGATCTAGTTTCAGGTCAGTGACTGGTACATTGTAGTGCCGTCATGTATAAGCCAAGGCATTAGAGTTAAATATTCGGAGACATATTTTGGTATTACGATCAGCCATCTAAGGGCGGTAGGCTCTCAGCACAACTACCAATCTATAATTAAACCACGAGTTCACCTCTGGTGGATTAAAAAGAAACACCCGTAAGAATACCAGTTTGTGGACTCTAGTGCCGTTACAACGTTAAAGGTCAGCTGTTCCATTGTTAGATTTCCTGCGAAAATAAAAGGAAGTGACTGAACCAATGAAAAATTGTGGGCTAAATACACGAGTTCACGTATTTACTAGAATTAACGTAAATAATCTCAAACCTAGCACAGTAGTAGATAATGCTTATTTGTAGTTCGATTCTTTGTAATAGGCACGTGTGCCTTCCGTACCCACCGACACCCATTAAATTAATTATCCTCATAAATAAAATCGCGTGTTGGTTAAGTGTCTCTAAAAGATACCATACTAGACGTGCATTCTCACACACTGACAAATGCGACGAAAATGGTTGTGATTCGGGCTTTAAGGTGTGTGTACCCCTCGACATGTTCAATTCCAGTTACATGTACGCTGATTCATCCCTGCACAGTCGGGTGTGTGTCTAAACGTGTAAGTGATGGTTATTCGCAAGGCTAAAGCTGAACACAGATGACCACCGTGTTGGCCAATATAATCATTAATCGAACCCCTGTCACAGCGAATTCGGACACCAATAATAAACCCTATGGATTTGTTTCCCCGAAATAAGTAAACTAAACTGTGCGACTGTAGCACCTAGTTATGATAGTCCATCCCTTAGTCTGTTTTGGCTCGGTTCCGTTCTCTGTAAACGGTATGCAGTGAAAACAGAACCTTTTCGGACGCTTTTTTAGAACAATTTGTCACCTACTTTTCGCCTTGTGATTATTTTTCAAAGACGTCATCGAAGTGGTAATCGGGGGCAGTTACTGGCCACATTTTACTTCATGTTTTCAATATCTATGCCCATTATAGTACAGTTCAAGCACGTAGTCTACATTGTATTAGTAAGCTTAGAATGGAACTGCTCATGTAGGGCATATCAAAAGTACAAAAGTTAGAAGTGAGTTCGTGAGCACTTTATTTAGCCATAGTTACTTGCGCTGCACACTGGATAATATGCGCTTTATCCGTTGGGAAGATATGGCATATGTAAGAGTGTGGAGTTTGGGTTCGTTTTTCCCAAACGGAGTCGCAGAAGTCTGCTGGTATTGATCATACACAGTAATCGAAATACGGCAGTCCTTGGAAAACGTCACGAACTGCTGCATTTTTGGTCCTTTATTTGGGGAGCTTTCATTTCTCCATTGGACGACAAAAGATCGCCCGCTATTCACTGAGGTTAGTAGTTTCAATTCTGTTGAGTTTTGACGAGCACCCAGAACACACGTCGTGAGATCGAATGCTAGCACCTGTTGAAGGCCTTGGCATGTGGTCTCGACCCACGCTGGGGCCGCATCGTTGTATTAAACCGATTACTCTGTATAGACACCCAGGAAAGCGAAGAAGGCTGAAACTGCGCTTACCACTGTTCTCTATATGGCTCAATCTGGCTTTTAAGTTTTCGTGCGTGCGTTTCAAAGATAGGGCATGACTAATGTAGTTGATCGATACAGTCTAGGTGAAGTTGTGAAACTGCACATGTCTGAATGGTTAGGTGAGTGAAATAAGTAGCGGTCGCGGTGTGAGCAGAGTGAGATAAGGACGCGGTTGGCTTTTGAATTGTATTCCTAGCATATCAGGCACAAAAAATGAAGTTTCGGGTAGTGCTGACTTCCATATCAATTGCCTCAGGCATGCTACTGCGTAGATACCGGAGGGGTTGTTAGGTCTAAAGTCATCCGATTTTACTTCATTGGGTGTGATTCCTGTGGATAATAACTGCATGTTGTAATTTACAAAATAATGGGACATATTTCAAATAGATAGTGGCTTTTGTTCTATGGTGATTTTTGTGTTCAGAAAAACGAATATTGCTACCTAGAACGGTCGAATCCACATTTAAGTAAGAAAGAAACAAAGACTTAAGACAGAAAGAGTAAATGAGGGAGTGGCCATGGCAAAACTGCTGTTTTTTTTTGGCGAACGCGAAGGCGGGTCGGTGTGCGTACTGGGTTTTGTACAGCGTCGAGCGTTGGTTAAATTTTGTGCTCTTGGTCATCCGTGGTTTGGCGGGGGCAACTGGAGCAACACGAACACACAGGAAGAGGAATGCAATTTAAAAAAACGAGAAATTAAACCACGATGGATTCTCATCCTGTTGTATGGGCCAAAAAGTCCAAATGCAATGACTTCCTAATCTGGTCACCGTGTCAGACGAACAGTCCGATTTCTGGCTTTTGGTTTGGCCACCCGCGGTAATCCTTCCTACAATGAATAAGCTTGCGCTGTCCACAGTCTGCCTTGGAGGTTTTGGTGAACTGCACGCGTTTACGCAGAACACACCAAACAGTCGTCACGCCCATTAGCAACATGGACCTACACCCACACAAGAAAATCTGTATAAAGTTTGTGCTAGTCTAACCTTTGGTTCGGTTTTCACCCATCTTGGTAGAAAAAAACTCTGTCCCGTTATTTTATATTTGTGTCAGCACATGAGTTTTTCGCTCATTCTCGGTGTAGTAAAGTGATTAGAAAATAGTTCATAAATCCAGTTAGTCGAATTTTTCATCGTGTCTTCGTATCTACGATCCTTCGTTTGGCCTACTACATTTTTCCCAGTCAGAATTTCTACGGCTACACCGCGTATCGTGATTACCCCTCGCATTTAATTTGGTGAATTATTACGTGTTATATCTATTAAATTTAGGTATGGAGGATGAGGTAGACATTGATAACACCCAGGGAGACTATTAGTAAAATTTCCAATCCACAATTTATATCTTGAGTGCCATTGAAATTTCGTTTACTTCCGTGGCAATTTTTCCCACACTTTCAATGTGCCCACGTAAGCTAATGTCATTGGTTAAAACAAGCTGAACGACCAATTCTTCCATTCTTGTCGTCTCTGCAGATGGTGACATTGTGTTGCCGTTGAAATATGTGCCTATTTTTTGACATCTCTTGAGCATTTCTTTGATATTTAATGCGTGAAACAGTGGGTCACGACTAAATTAGGTAAAATCAGTCTCCCACACGCCTAGCACATTTTAATTTCCATGTTGATCTCACGTCATTTAAACCTTTTCGAACAAGAAAGCCCCTTTAGCGTCTTTCCGGCCTCCGTTCTACACTCAGTGTGTGCAAACTAATTTTACTTGTTTTGTTCCTTCAAGCGTTTCATATTTGAATCGCTGTTTATTCACTCATCTTCCTAATACGTCAATGCGGGTCAACACAGTCGAAAATATACACGGGGGCTGTGCACTTGTGCTCTTGTCTGAGACGCAGCATCCGCCTAACTGCACGCAATCTGCACAAACGAGGACTACACCTGCACCGCTAATCAAAACTGCGTTCTAATCTGGTGTAGTCGGCACAGCCAAAGCTCCGACCACGGCATTAGATGCGGCATCGCCATGAGGCGATCAAATGATTTACGTTGGTAGCGCTCCTGGTGCGTGAGTTGTTGTCTAGGTCGAAAAAAATCAGCTCAAGTCACGCAGTTAAGAACATAACCCGGAACCGTGGTGCTGTTTTGTGGCTGACAACAGCGATGATAAAACGCTCTGAAGTGGTTCGAATGACAGACACGTCTGGATTGGATTTTCATCACAACTCCCAGTAAATACGGAGACTCGTTGCCACGGTATCAAGACGGTATTAGGGCGTTTTATTTCAATTCAGCAAACCTCACATCTCGACCCTCGTTAGGTAGAGTTGTCTAGTTGGACTCGCAGCAATGCCCGCACTGTATTCCATCCTGCATTCTTCGTCTGCGCCAGCATTGCCTGGTAGCAAAGACGACGCGCCCAGACACGACACCCCGCTGGTCTGTGTGTGCGTGCAAATTCATGGGTGGCACTCGTACATAACGTGGGTTGGCAGCAAGTGTGTGTGTGTGTGTGAACCAACGCGGGTTTGGGGGAGAGACCCGGAGACTAAACTGCGTCAGTTGCGCTTGTTCAGACTGGCTTCCGCTAACAACTCATCACAGACTAACTCAAGAGCATCGACCCAGGAGATGAAACCTTATTTTAAATAAAAGTAACCACTTGCCGATGTGTGTTAGCGTCATAGAGGATTTTGTTATTTTTTAGAGGGAAACTGGACGATGACGCAAGGTAATATTCATTTTTTGATCGCTAAAATTTTGGTTTCATGCCTTGGTTTTTTGTTATAAATACTTATACATGTGTGTGTGTGTGCGACTTTGGGTCTCAATATTCTCGAATTCGGGGTAAGTCATTCGCCTACTTTACGTAAACTCTTCGGATCTCGGGGTTGATTTCGGCCTCCGCCTATGCAGGCGTTCACGCGATTGATTAATCCGTGTCCGCTTTGGGAAGGGAGTCACTGCAGGCCCACTGCGTCGGCACCGTTCTCCCTGCATTGCTAGTTTTAGTGTAGGGTGTCGAATAGCAAGCCCAAGGAGCTGTTAGTCTCGCTGCGATCAGGTAGATTCGGAATCTTCGTAGGGCAAAACGAGTCCGACGTTCTTATACTCGTGATGTGTAAAGCACTGCCAAAGTAACATGTAATAAATATTTTCTGAAGTTCCCTCAGACTCTTCGCAGCCAAAATCTCTGATTTTTTTCCACCAACCAGATGTGGGAGTTCAGGTCGCGGGTTCTTATTATCGGCAAAGCTTGAGGCAATTTCTATTCAATTGAGGCTTAGCCATATGCATCAGTTGACTTTTGTCTTTAACGCCTCATCATTCTTCCTTTCCACCACCCTCTATTGGTCCACAGCGGGTTATTTTCGTGACTAATTAGTAAGTAGTCGAAAGCTGACTCTGAGCTCACTGCCGCTCTTGTTACAACTGCTGTGTATATGCGTGACAAACAATACCTGCCTACATAGTTTTTAATTTGACATTCATCATTGGCTCATTTATAAATGCTAATTAAACAATCCGCTCAAACAATGTTTTTGTGCATTGCTGCATAATTTTCAAAGTTGAATTGGCCTGTAAAAGTTCGATGTAGTGCCCGTTCCCCATTATCTCAATTTCCCTCACAATATGCAGTACGGGCACCATAAATCCTCTTTTTAACTCTTAACACGATTGGGGTGCTGACACACTGGTTAGGCTTGGAGGGCATGCGCTGGCAATTCCATAGCCCGATTTCACCCCACAACATCGCGCCTTTTGACAGGCCACTCGACACTGAGGTGTGCGCACACAAGGTGCTCTGATGCGTGTTAGTCGCATGGAGGGCCTAAGTAAGCAGCTACCTATATGGGCGTGTACAATCAGCCGACCAGGTGTTGCTACAAGTCGCTATAGGAAATCAGCAATTCTGGTTGACTTGTCTTTTGATTTTGGGTGAAGCGACCCGGTGAGGCGATTAATGTAGTTTGCCGCGCTTGACCAGTGTCAAATGCGCCAACAACCGTTCCATTGGCTTGTTCGTTGGAGTTCGTGCTCACGAATAGTCAGAGGACTGTCATATCACCCTGTCGTGAGTTTAACCTCCATCTGAAATGTCTTTAGCGTAAAATCGCTATTTCCCACGTACAAGTGACCTAATTAAATCTCCAGCCCGTATGTGTCTTTCTTGTAAAGTGGTTATTACTTGGGCCTAGTTAATGTCAACTTTGTGATGACTTACTGGTCGTGTTGTTAAAAGTGCTTCATGAGATCTCATAGGCTGGAACAGCCGTCTTAATCTCACTTCTATGGGATCAGTAATTTGATTAAAAATCCCACAACAGTCGGAGGTTAATCAATTACAATTCCTTCTCCGCCAGTTGTGTTATGTCGAGTCCCGTCGTCAATTGGGGCGCCGCCTCTAATCGGGTTCGGTTGTTTGTGTTTAAGGGGCGACTGCTGGGACGTCCCCATCACTTCCAAAGGTTCTCCGATCAAGCGGTTCGGCTGCCACGGTCAGCGGGGTAATCAGCACTTCGCGCTCGACTGGCTCACGGGCGTGGACGCGAACCCCGTCATGGTTAGACACGTGGTCTCGGGCACATGTGTGGAAACCGATGTCGCCGGGACTCGCGTCTACGTGGCGCCTTGCGACAAAAATAACGCCAACCAGTACTGGTACTGGGACAAGGTTCAGTGGAAGGCTGCCAAAAAACACGAGAAGCAGCTCAATTTGGAGCCCTAAGCGCAGATGGGCTGCTACCTTCACTACCAAAAGTCTCTTCCTTATCACCGACTGCCTCTTATTTCCTTTTTTCCATGTATCGGCTTGTGTACGAACGTGTATATGTATGTGTGTATGTATGTGCATCCAAGCCAAATAACGTCTGTAAATCTGGAATCTTACTTCTTAATGTATTTTGTGGAATTGACACAGGTGTGTCACAAAACACGACAATGAAGCCATTTTTAGACAGATCGCATTGTTTCATTAATGAAGAAAACACAGGAGTTTTTTGAGCAACCATAAACGTCGTTTAGTACGTACGTTCACTTTTACGTGTAATTCGCTTTAAACTTGCAATAACAGCAGTATTCCCACCATCATTTTAATGTTCAACTTCTCCCTGCTGGACCTTTTATGAAGCCACGCTTCGGACTACCTCAGCATGGCTTTACCAACAATCCCGTGTAAATGGCAATGAGGAGGACTTTGCTCCAGATGGTGGCTTTTCGTGGTGTGTTGGGGTCGCTGGTCTGTTGTGGAGGCGGTTTTCTCTGGTAAAAGGGAGGATGAACAGACCTTGCTTGTTTATTAGCCCAATATTCCGACTTCTGAGTTATTCGTATGGAGAAAGGAAGGCGAGAAATCAACCACGAATAGATGCTTGAAGGGCTGGAGTAGGGCACAGCCACAACATCCACATCTTATAACCCTTTTACATTGTTTGCTTACATTGTTGGCATTTGAGCATCAAATTTGCAAAATCAGTTGTTCTTAGTTTGACTCAGCTAAACATTAGGAAATCAGTTATCGATTTCACCGCGTTGGTATCAGAAATTTAGGAAGTCGAAATTGCCATCAGTTTAGTGTGGACCCTCCAGAAAGAATTCACTTTACTTCAAATTATTACATCGTGACTCCGTCAGCTTGTCATGCCCTAGAATGAAGGTCTCGCTTGTGGGTGCTGTACGTTTTGATTTTCAAAATCTTGGATGATGTTCGTAAACCTCTTCTGCGGAATTGGCGATTCAGCTTCTATTTTACCTTCGACTCATCGAGACCTGTCAACGAGCTATGCCTTGATTCCTTCGAATTTACCCTCTTCGTGTGCTTGTGGGCCTGGCTGATATCTCCGCTGTCTCGCTGCTTCCTCCAACAGACGGTAAGGCAAACTATTGCAATAGACACGGTGCATATCTGGTCGCGTCTCGGTGTTTGGAGCCAGTGTGCCAAATTCCGGGCATACTTTAAGCATCACACCAACGCCCCTGACTTGGAGCTTCATTCTATGCTTACGGTGTGCAAGGGCTGACTGAAGTTAGACACGTCTAAATATCGATGTTTCTTCTCAGCTTGTGAATGTGCCCATCAAAAAGCGATCTTTGAACTTGCTGGCGGGTGCTGAGCGCCAAACGCTGTGGTTGAAGATCACTCCGAAAACCTGAATTCTATCGAATTAAGACTCTCAAGGGGCCATAAATTAAATTGGCGCATCAGGAAGGAAGTAAAGGATTGCTAGTGTAGGGATGGTATTTACCAGAGCCATCCTCTCTCTTTGTGCGTTTGAATGGGCAACAAGGACAATCAACAGCCAGCCAGAAGCAATGATGGATGAGGAAAGCTTATGTAGTGTGGGCTGCAGCCACTGTGGAAGAATCGGATGGACGCCAGTGGTGTGCAAACAATGTCAGTAATGTTGCACCTGCCTTTTCCATACTAGGGCTCGAGTATTCTAAACCAGTAGCGTCACCTTTACTTAAGCTATCACATGAGGGTAAATACAGTGTGTAGGTAAACCAGACAACTGCGATAAGGTGTTTTAAGGGTGCACGAAGTCCGAACATTTTCATCGACATTATCTCACATTTTTATAGTAATTCTAGAGATTGAGGTCAGATATCACATCTTTTAAACTAAGTTCCTCTGCAATATAGGTCATCCGTCAAACTGATAGCAGCTAAATCGAGTATTCATTAGACAATAGATTGACTAATAATGATTCACACTGAACAAAGTTCCTTCATGTGACGTTGTGATGTGACGTAGGTGATTTTTTTCTGAGTGTATCTAGACGTCTTCTGTGGGCCGCATAATAAACAAATGAAGGAGCCACAATCTTTATGTTCCGCTGTTTTTTCGTGTCGTTATTCCCACCTTCATCTTGACGGAGCACCTCGAACTCTTCTAGACACGGTGGATCCGGAGACGCTGAAATTTTGTCACCTTTGCCTCAGAATGTAATCTTGCAAAATATCGTCAGGGAGGGGCCGTCGGAACAAATATGCTGAATCATCAGGCTCTTTAATAATCGCTCATCTTTCATTTTAACTTATTTTTTTGTTTTTGCAATTTCATTTCTCACTTCGTCCTGTTTTTTTACATTTTATGACATCCTATTTTCAGTATGAATTTTGATATTTGCTGCATATAGTTTTTATTTGATCATAGAAGAATCATTTTGGCATGATGTGACCCTTTTCTCCAAGCACCTGCAGGAATGCCCTCGATGCTCGCAGTTCAGAGTAGGTTTTCAGATAGAGCTTAGTTATTTGTTAATTTCGCAAGCTTGGCTGGCTCTCATGACCTTTAATTGAAGGGAAAAGTGAGCCATCGTAGAAGCCTTTAGGACAGGATTCCGATGTCAGTAGCTCACCCCTCGAAGTCATTTCATTGAAAATGTCTGTTTTGGTATTGTATAGCGGAAGGGGTTCAGGTCCGTCCTCATTGGCATCAAATTCATTAATAATGCGCCTCAACACCAGGCAACCGCATTAAATCAACTGACGGGAAAAGCTGTGAAAAGTTGATGGCTCGTTTCCACGAACCCTCGTTTTGACGTTAGGCGTCTTAATTGTGTCACCTGGAATGGGGATTCTGCACTGGGCCCAAAGCCTTTTCGGAGTCGTGGTGTGCCTGCGCGTATATGATCTGATATTAGCCACATTAGCATAATAGCACACTGTGGCGGGATGCCATTTCACTCTGCGAGACTAAGGCACCGCGTTCACCCAGTTCTGCAGGCTGGCAGTTGCACATTTCTGGCAATAACACTCCTGCTACTGTTAGTTCGAGCTTTCTTGGATTGGCTGATGGGGCGCCAAGCGCATTCTTTTTTTTTAAGTGAACGCACAATAGTCGGTTGAAGCTTTTAGAGGGAGAAGCAACGTTTATTGTAATTACCACTCCCTGTACCAATGTGCTTAAGAGAACATTAAATTTATGACTTGTAAAAATGTCAACAAGTGCCACAAATGTTACATAAAACACGTGTTGATTAGGCTTGGTAAATTACGACTGCAAAATATGAAGTCACTGGTTTCACCTTAAAATTCTTGTCTATGAAAGATTTAAACTGATTACTGCGCTCCGTTATGGTAGGTTAGATTAGGAAAGTAAATAGGCTAGTGACTCAATTCTGCCTTCAAGAAGTTAAAAAGATAACATCTATGAATTTGGCGTTGCATGCCAAACTAACGCCCTAAATTAGGCTTATTAATGTTAGTGAATGGTTTAAGAAATTCAGTTCTATGAAAATACCGATCAACTAGCTTAGCAGGTTTAATGCTACCAAGAAAGCGCGAACTTGCATTCTCAGGCGCTTCTAAATTCCTCGATTCTGACGTTATTTCCTGTTGAGGAGATTAGGATAAATCGGGGCAAGCTAAAATGCTCGACATCAACCGAACTGCTTGAATGCCTGCTCACCCCAGAATGTGGAACCGTAAATGGTGAGCCGAGGCAGTAGCGCTTATACTATGCCAATTTACATGCTCAAGAAATAATCGTTTAGAGGTGTTTGTTGACGAAGTAATATGACTACTTCCGAAGAAGTCGATGCAGACTAGGTCATAGTTTTAGTTCGACACTTCTAATCAACAAAAGGCCTCACGAAGATTAGTGAATCTGTGATAAATAGTGCTGCTGGGGGCTCAGCATCTCCGAGACTACATTTTACAAGATTACGACAATTTCTATCCAAGAAAGCAAAGGAAATTGTATATAAAATACTGGTCTGTTTAACGTAGTTTGGTAATTCCTGTCTTAGGGACTTCGATACACATTTTTAGTCCTGAGAACAAGAAATAAGATGCTCGAGCCAGATCCCGGCTTCTGGATTGAGAAGATAACTTTGCCAAAGGAAATACTTTCAAATTCCTCTAAGTTGTTTTGAGAGGCGGGCGTTTGGAGTGATAGTGATGCACCGCTTGTTTTAATACAACTAGCATTGTGCTGCAAAGTGGATCTTGGACATCATGTCGCTTTTTGTCAAAAAAGGCTAAAATGTTCATTCCGAGTAGGGGCCCTCTGCTGACAAACACGTTGGCTTCTAAATGCCGGAGGCGGATTTCCATGCATTTGGGGTCACTCTGGGTTTTGGCTGGGTCTTGTTTGAAAAGACGGCTTTAGCTGGTTACAGTCAGCTCAAAGCTCGTGGCAGTCTGCATAATTCTATTTAAAGCTACATTTAACGTTCCTGTTTACTCAGTGATACGAGTTTGTCCAAAAGTGCCTCGAATTGAGAACATATGCATAATTGGTCAATTTTAATTTCGTCCACCATGTCGGTTTCTGTCATGGTGCTTTTCAAAACGCTTAGTAGTCTAAAACCCAGAGCATGACACTTTGTCGCTGACCCTTCAAGTATTTTTAATGTTTAAAAGACATCCTCACCTCACATTTAATAAAAACAAAACTTTTTTTGTCTATAAGTAATGTCCTGGCCTTTTCCTAGGTGGTTCCACAAGGTGCCCTACGAGGAGTACTAACATGCTGTAAGCCAGGTTCGAAGTAGCAACGTCAATAAGGTCGAGTGACCGACTTTTAAGCTACACGAACTATGGCCGATGGTGCGTGTGTGTGTGCAAACGCGCGATTGTCTTTCTAGACAAGAGTTACGCCTTGAGCGCAATCGCGAATTCTCGCTACATTCACCTGGTTACTTCAAGAAATAAAAGACACCATGATCTTGGACTATTGGGCCTTTGGTCACCGCAAATCCATTAAACAGGATCCACAGAACCTTTGTAGGTGTGGTGAAACGAAAGACAAAACAGCACTCAGTAGCGAGCAGCGTCGAAACCAAAGGAGCCGGAGGGATATTTTTACGAGCAGCAATGCGATGGTGAGCCGGAAGCTTGTCCGAATCGGTTCGCTGCAAGCTGATGACATCTGCCACCCACTACCACCCCTCATTGGCCGTTTGTTCACATATATACACACACAAGGATTCACCAAATCTAGCGAGTGAGTAAACGGTTTTGCATCCTCCGCACCAGGTTCTTTGCTCTTGGGTTAGCATCAACGTTGTAAAGGGGCTCAAACTCTTATGCTCAGTATTCGCCGTGTTTACTTACGAACTAATAGGTTACAATGCCAGCGTCCGGTTATCAAAAAATGACAATTTGTCGATAAATTCAGTAATGTTAAGGAACGTAAATCATTAACTCTAATTTAGAAAGAAATAAAGGGTCTGCGTGCGTTTTGCTAGATTTGTAAAGTTTTAGGTATCGCTATGGCCATCGCAACTTGGAAATCGCATTAGAGGGACGACCATTCTGCAATTTTGCGGTCTCCATCGAATCACACAGTGGCCCATCAGTTATTCCGAACATAATCCTCACTGGATTGGCCACCCAAAAACGCCATTAGGAGAAAAGTTCAGCCTGAATCAGCACAAGGCGGACTTGGGAACCCTGTTGGCGTTCTGACACTTTGGCGCAAGTCCATGTTTAAGTTTGGAAAACTTCGATATTACGAAGTGATCATAGAAACAAACGTACACTGCTAGTGAGCGAGGGTGCGCGACACGCGAGAGGCCATAAGTCCAGGATATGGAGAGCTGACGGCATGACAATTAGGCGACACCAAGGGTTCTCTTTTCAGCATGCTCCTGGCCAGAGGAAATCTGAAAGGCCACAAGGCAAAACCAGTGCCTTGGCCTGTCAATAACTCACTCACTCAACCCCATAGGGCATCAGGATCGCCAATTGGAAGCCCAACAAAGAAGAGGGTAGTTTCAATTGCACAGAATCCTTACTTTATACAGATGATAACTTGGCTATAGCACGCTAGTGATGTCTGAAGAAACGCAAGTCTATGGTACATGACAATGACATGGGCGAAGATGAAAATTCTGGGTAAAATGATACATGAGGGCATGAGAAGGAGAAGTGAGTTAATCAGAGCATGACCTTCATGTCCTCGTCGGTTGAGTGGACAAGGGCTTGGCGTTTGATGCCCCAGAACATTCGCGGTCGGAGATCGGCGTTCGTGGCGGTGAACTGCCAGCCCATGTGGCTCTGACAACCGGCGCACTGGGCGATTGTCCACGCGTAGCTGGCAACGGACAAACACAAAACGCCATCACATTTACGAACGACGTCAAGTTTTATAACCCCTTACAACTTCAAAAAGCAAACCCAAATCAAATACCCATAATCGGACTGTCGCATCTACGTCAGGATATGATTTGGGCCAGGGTTATAAGTTAGAGTCAAGCGTCAATTACGAAAAAAATACGCTCAGGTTCGTCATATCGTCTTTCAGAAACTCGAACACTATTTCACGAGGCCTCAAAAACAACTTCTGGCGGAAGTAGCTATTACAAACAACGAAAGCTATCCCAAATATTCGTGATAGAAATGTCTTAAAGGGCTTATCCTCAGCGCGAACTTTGGATTCGGGCGTTCCTTTTAAAGGCACCAATTTGTCGAGCATCTTTCAAGGCTTATTGTAATTATTCTCGCGAGTATTGGATGGTGCATAGTGTGTTTAGCGAAAACAACAACGGTGTTATGAGATAACTTGGTTGCGCGTTGAAAAAACCCTGGCAGATAACCATTGGTGAGCTGATGCGCAGGCTGGCTTGAACTAAGAAACCATAAGGAGCGCAGAAATTCTAATCAAGTCGAAAAGCGGGGTGACAAAAAACACTCAAGTCATAATGTGTCGGCATTTAAGGCATGATTTGAAGAGCACCAAATTTCACAAAGGCACAACAGACACGGAGATCCAATGAATCAAAGTCCACCTCACTAATCCAGACATACAGCGACGTCGAGAAAATGCTACGTTCGAAAATGTGATTCAGCATGACCTCATGGATCGTAGGCCAAAAGAAGCAAGTGGTAGGAAGTCAACCTTACCCAGGGAACCATGAATACTGGTCAGATGGCTCGCCAATCAAATCAATGGCGCCAGTTTGAACAGTGCTCAAAGTGAGCATGTCAAAGATGAAGCCTTGGGGGTTCACGTAGGCCTGCATCGAGCCCTCCTGAGCCAAACAAATCACGTCCTTCTGGGAGGTGATATTTGCGTTGCAGAAGGAGCAGGCAAGAACGGAGCACTGCGGAGGGTATGCACCGCAATGGAAGAGGAAAAGGGTTTGTAAAAAAAGCAGACAGAAAAAAAGTAGAGGGAAATGGAATCGAGGGAAGGTTAAATCGGGCATTTAATTGATGCCATGACAACGAAATGCACGATTGCAGCCTGGTGCAAGCCAAATGTATTTGTCGACAATGAAAAAGTGCACGCGATTTTTGGGGAGCAAATAAACTTTTTTTTGGAAAATATGACCTTTAAGCCCAACCAGTAGGCTCTACAAACACGCCAGGTCCTACATTGATTATTGAGTAAACTTCGCTAAACACAGAAAATAATGAAGGCGGATATCCCTTTGAGATTCGTTACCACGGTGGCATCAAGAATGAGGAAGCACAAGTCAACTTGTTGTAGGAAGAGATTTCTGCATTAAGTTGGCAATCCTTACCGCTCGAATGACGTGTAGCGCAGCCCGTAGACGCTGAACGACGTGGTCAATTTTCAACATTTCTGCTTTGAGGGTACAAGACAAGGGAAGATTTTGCAATAGCCAATAGGAGAAGGGAACGGCCAGTGAAGGGTTCCATTGTTCCATTCGCCATGTGTTGGTCCAGCGCGACAGCTCAGCACGAATTTCGGCGACGAGAAATGCCTTAACATCAAAACGTGTGCATTAGAGACGCATGAAGGTGATTTGCAGTAGTACGGGAGGGGGCGCACCAGGTCATACTGACGGTAAACCCACGCTCGTAAGGGGGTTAGAGAGTCGGCCACTGACGCGATAACATCCCGCCGACATAGAAGACGGCAACGGCTTTGCGGCACCGCTGTTTCATCATCTTCATCACCGTCAGCAGCCTCGGGGGGGCGCCAAGAACTACGCGAAGTATCAAAAATAGCAAAAGGCTCTCCTGGTAATGGATGGGGCATTACTCGTGGGTTTGACCTTGGAATAAAAAAAATTAGGAATATTAACATTACTGAAGAGAAATAAGTCGGAAATATACACGCAAATACCTCTGATTATCTTCAACGAAATTTGACACCGGTGACGAGAAGTCTGGCTCCGAGGCGAAGCGAGACCAGGAAGGAGGCATGAAGAACAGGCCCAGGGGACCGGAGGAGGGTTGATCCAAGGAGACTTCTGGTAGGACCACGCCTTTACAAGTAAGTTGATTTCTGAAAGAAATAAGTGCGTGAAAATCCTGCCAACCTAGCCTCGCCTGCTCCATAGTGACGGGACAAAGGCATTGATATGGAATAAAGCTATAACGATTTCCTCAGATTAATTGCAGTTTTCGTAGATAGCGAGAAATATTGTTCACTGACATATTTAACTAATATCACACTGTCCTACTTTCAGGTAGCTGGTTCAGCATATTTGGCAAAGCACACTGAACTGTCTCTTAGGAGATACAAGAAAATACATGAGTCGACGAAAAAATCTAATCAGGTAGTCAAGAAGAAAAGGCAAAGATTTCAATAAAAGTTTTCTTCGAATATTTTTCACACACTTTGGCGCAACAAAAGAGGAATAAATATAATGATTTCAATGTAGACAAACATTTTAAAAACCGGCCATTTTGAAAATAAAACCTACAAGAAATTGTGTTATTTACAAAATGACACTGATTTAACATAACACAAATGCTACCTTCTCGGATCAGTGTAATGCAGCAAACTGAGACATTACTTAGAAGAGCCTGGAAGCAAAAAACCCTCACAGCAACCATAATTGTCTGAGTGAATGTTATCGACACCTGTTAAGAATGCGGATAAGGAAACTGAATGAATTAACTTAAGGCGAATTTTGTGTTTCGGGTAGGAACAATGGTAACACAAATCATAAAATAGTTACCTGGACGAAACTAATAACCGACAAAGAAACATCTCGGAAATTAGCAAATAGTAAATAAAACCTTCTTAAGAAGCTTACAACATAGTAGAAGCACTGACTTCTATAATTCGTAGACGTTGTCTGCCAAGTAGAACGGGACTAAGGTTGTTGCCACTAACGCGGATGGTTATCAAGTCAGCGATCGTTGCAACATGACCAATAAAGTCTGTTAGAAGAATGCGATCCGAGAAGCTGTAAAAAATTCATTTGAACAGTGGAACCTAGATAGATTTTAATTTAATAGAAACTATCGAAAACTTATGGACACAATGTCTGCTTCCAGGATTTAAAAAAACGATTTAAGGGAAGATGACTCAAGAGCATGAAATAAAATTGTAAAAATTAGAGGTTAATGTAATCGCCTAAAGTGAAAGAGAAGATAAAATTGATTTTAGCATTAAATTGCATTCATTCAAGTCAATATAAACGTTTGGAAGCAAATTTTTCAGAAACAAAGCTTACCAACCGGGTAGAACAACAACAGGACCGCTAAACGTCCTCAAAATATCAGCTTCTGTGGAGCCCTCTAGTAAGAGTGGAAGTGAATAACCAGGGACCAGAACAATGCCAGGTCTGTAAAACGCGCGAAGTGACACCACAGACCCGGCCTCTTGGTGATTATGTGTATCGACTGTAATAGCATCTTCACCAAGATACTACAATTTCTTCAAAAACTGTGGCATACTGTGTGGCGGCCAGGAAGAGTTCGGTCAAAATTAATATCACAATCTGAAATAGGCTCTCCAGTGGCCACTGGACTTTGTGTACTTGGCGTGTAAACCAACCGATCAAAACCGTCTGCTATACTATCAACAGTATCGAAATTTTCAGTAGACTCCGCGTCAGATTGCGAATCATCACCTTGTTTAGATGTAAAACAAACAAAAAAGACTTACTCATAACTTGCGAAGAAGCACACACACGAAGCCTGCACACTCTGTTATCACCGCTCCATAAATCAGACAGTTGAAACACAATTTAGGTTGCTGTAAAAAATCCCCCTTAAGAATCACATGTCTAAACAAAAGTTATACTCAATCTGTTCATAATGTTAAAGATAGTGAATCGTTGTACTAATGTATTTACTTATAACAATGAGTGCCGAAGTCTGTTATTATTATGATGGTGATTGTTTTTTTTAAACACCTCAGCACTAAAGCCTCTCAGCTAGAACTTAAAGTTAACAATTTTGGTTTCTATTGTTACAAAACAGGCTAGCTTCGAAATTACATGCATGCTATCTCTTGCTTCTAATATGGTGCAATTTATTTTCTCACTAAAAGGCAGTAGTAGCCCCGGTAATAATCATCGAGCGTTTTCGCTACAAAAATATTTATTGCATGCAATTAAACAGATCGGTAGCTGGATAAATATAACTTTGTAAATAAACAAGATGGTTTAGAATGCCAAAATGAATTGTTTCATTTGCAAAATAAAATTATCTTCATACTGAATCTTTTCTGACTTTAATGTAAGGGTCAGTTATGACGTAAGCAGAGGAATGTAACTCTGTAAGTTCGACTTATGCAAAAAAAAGTAATTGCAACTAGACTATTACTATAACAAAAATTGCTGAAGAGATAGTCTCACGCATTTTTTACGACTGAAATATTCGGAATATTTTCCTTAATTTACCACGTGGGATTGCATTACAGACATCTGAAAAGTTCGAGCGTAGGCACAAAATCAGTTGTTTTTTTAAAAACTTTCAAATCGTTTGATGGTAACAAAAATATCGAAGTTATTTTTGAACAGATTTTTAGCCTTTTTGTCATTCCTGACTATGAATATGCAATAAAAATAATTCAAAGGTGGTTGCCTTTTTTAAAATATTATCTCGCGCAACCCAAACGATAAGCAATCGTGCAAAGTGAAATTTATCTGTTTCTGGGTGGACTAAACCGGCATCTGGAATTATTTTGGTCATACTTCGTTGGAATTTTTCTCTTATCCTTTACATGTCCCTCAACGTTTCCCGTCTGTTTCTTTTTCTGAATCCCAATTTTGGAAATAACTACGTTTAAATTGTTCAATTCATAAGTCAAATGACGAATATCTTCCGGGCCCTTAATATTGGGGGAAAAGCCTTACTTTTGACTTCCAAATATAGTTTCACGTGCTCATATCAAATTTAATGTCTGCGTAGTATCGACCATCTATCAACATTTTGGAATTTCTTTACTGTGAGAAATCTTGCAGCACTGCAACATGCTTAAAGAAGTTGGCTTGCCATTTGCTTATGTAAAATCTAGAAAACTTTCGCATTGTGACTATTGTAGGTCTGCTCATCGCATTCTAATTGGGTCATTCATTAGTATACGTCGTTTTAATGTGAACTGGCAGTACGTTTCGGGTTGCCCACAGACTAGTGACTTAACCTTACCTACAATGTAACACAATAAAGTCTTATGTGACCTCAGCAGATCATTAGGTCTCAAACACTGAAGTAGAGTACTTTGCTCAAAGAATTTCTTGGTAACGGTGAGCAATCCAACTTTACGCGATGCCACAAGAACATTATAGTTTATTATATGATTTCGAGTAGCGTGTCCATGTTAAACGTGACGAGCCGTGAACCAATGGTTGTCGAGGATAAAAAGATTTATACATGGGTTCACGTGGTGCCTTCTCTATTTTGGACCTCACCGCTTAAAACTTCGTTAGTGGCCCAATTTGTCGACCATAACGAGTCGAAATCAGCTTCTTCGGTAAACTATGTACATACCAACACATATTGCGGTTTCTCAGTGACTCTTTCAGGCAAAGGCAAGTTTCTAGGCAAAACGATATAGGCTGCAGACACCCTTTGGAGCACTTCAGCATACTCTCTGTCCTCTCGTCAAACAATTTGTAGCCTTGTTTGCCTAACTTATATGAAATGGATAGAGAATCCAATCATAATTCTGATGTCCAGGATTACGAGATTAGCTCTAATTGGTCACAATATTCCTTGAATTTGTCCTAGTGAATATACATTTTTTGTTACCCGCTAGCGTATTTAAAAGTGACGGTGTGATTTTTTGGCACCCGATTTCGTTTTCATGGAATCCCGACTAGAGTGGGTACAGGCTGGGTAACCAATGGATCGCTGATGGAGCAACACCGATTACGCTCATGATTTCCACGTTTACCTTATTCAAGATAGTTTACCTCACTTTCAATGAATCAATGTTTCCATGCCTCACGCGTTCAAATCCAATTAATACCATTATATAACTTAGAAAGTCATGAATCGTTAAGTAACTAATGCAATTTACTGTGCTTGAGAAACGGCACATCACACAGTACCTTACATTGATATCTATTTGAATAAAGTAGTTTAGATTTAACAGCAAAAGACACAAGCAAAGTTTTCATTATAACTATGACCTGCCATTGTGGGCAAGGTGTGGGTATGACTCAGAAGCAACTGACTACGCTGGTACGTCTCTGACACGATTTTAATTCTTTGTTTTGCCTCAGCATCAAGTGCAAAAGCAGTCAACGTCGAAACTTTGGCATGCGTGAGAGAACAGGTCTGAAGGAAAATCTGGGGTGAATAAAGCACCATTGCATGCGCACGCTATATTCCAGACCAATTAAGCATGAACTTAATGCGTTTTCATGGCGCCTGTTTTTTTTAATTCTGTAATTAGGCGGGTTCGGACACCTAGCAATTCATTTGGGGAAAGTAAAGAAGGAAGAGTAGATGTGTTCAGCATGAAGCCAGTGTGGACCAGAATACACAGTTTACTGGTTTCCTTGGGTGCACCGTCATGCGGCTGAGTCGTCGTCGTTTGAGATGACCTTTATGCATCCAGTCTGGTTCAATTGGGATTGAGTGGTTATTGTTTGAGGGTAATTCAAAAGTAGCTAAGAAATGACACGAACGGCTGTAGGCAGTTTAGCCTTGGAAGACACAAACAGATCGAACCGCGACTAGTTCATACAAAGCCGTAGGCAGACTTCCACAAACGATCACATGCGAAAGGTATAATGTAAAATCACTTTTAAACTAATTATAACGCCCCGTTTTCCGTTTAAAACAGGATCAAATTAAGAGCTGTTAAACTGTCTTGATAAAATAACTTAAATAATTCCAATGCACCGGTTCTCACGACTCAATTTGCATCAGTCGGCAATTATTCGGGAACAGGGTCAACTTTATGTATTCACTACAACTACTGTCTTTCAGAGCTATCTGCTACGTCCCCGCATTAGGAGGCACCAGTTTCAGTCTTTACTCGGATAGCGTGCCAAAAAGTGCATACACGCAAACTCACATCCATGTCACCAGTTATCAGGTTTGGAAAATGTTTGATGAAAATCACAGCAGGTACATTTGAAATCAGGTGTGCAAAGCGAACACCAATTCGGGTTCCGTTTAATAAACTTCATGGGAACGAAGAAGGGAATTCCGTTTCACAGCATTATTAAAAATGAGGCCGTGGAAGCACTTCTAGCAGCCGTAAAGTAATGTTGTGTTGGAAAGTTGCAATTAGGCCCAATCCGTCAGTTTCATATCGTGGTTTGCAAGTGGATGACTTCTGCACCTGAACGTATTGGGTGATGAAGAGAACTCAGATCTACTCTGTAGATTATTGAAAATATTCAAAGAGTTTGTACGCATGTTTATCAATTCTGTTTTCTTGATACACCCCAGTCACACAGAAGTGTGAACAAAGGCTTTAAATGTGCCCCACATTTCACAAAGTCTGTAGAGGAAATGATATTGAGGTTTCAGTAAATTGATTAAATACTGAGAGGTCACGTACTCCATTTCCGTTTTGGTGCATGCACACTCATGTGCCCATGAGGCCTAACACACATAGCCTCTCCCATAAGTACTCATGGCTTTGGGTCAGACTGCCAATTCTCACTTGGTGACCAGTGGCGCTTGCGACTACGATGTTACAGTGCCGTAAGTGATTTTATCTTTACTTAAAACATCACGTTTTCATGGTACGATATTGAACGCTGTTGGGTTTGTAATAACCTGACGCGTTTCCGCTTAACTGCATTTCGTGACATCCAACTAACTTTAAGTGATTGGGCATTTGGATCTCAGAAAGAAACATTTTGCAAGTGAATAATGGAAGTATGCCACAGAAGACTGATTGTTGTCCCAAGAAATTTAACAAAATCTAGGTTAAATCTCATCCTAAGGAGGCGATTGTTAAAAGTTAAAACACATTTTCGTTTGAACTGTACTGTAGATCAAATTTCTCATAGGTGCGAACATTTATGTAGCAAACCAAAGGGATTCACAGGTAGAAGTACAAGTGCATATTCGAAATAAGCGGAATGTGTTACGCTGTCAAGCGTCCTCAGTGTAACACTTGTAATGTCTGGTTTTATTTCGAATCACTGGCATGAGTTAAATTAATGAAGTCACCCTGTTTTTTCTTTAAAAACGCAATTTAGCACAAACTATACGCTTGTGCAGATTTCAAAGATGTGACCGTGTTGGTAGATTCCTCCCCCGTACGTTCCAAGCGTGAGATGCAAGAGCTAGTTTCTTACGTTTTGTTCAAAGTTAAGCTAAGATGAGGAATGCTTGTGAACTAAAAAAAATAAAAAGGATTGGGAATTTGGTTTGCAATTAAATCGCTTTTACTGTACACATTGAAAAGCCTCACCAGTTTCAATAGAGTGAATGTGGAGCAGATAGTCCCATACAGTCATGGCGTGAATTACCACTTAGTTTGGCACGCACAAAAGCGGCAAATTTGAATGTAATACTGCCAAAACGTTGATGCCAAGTAGGAGAATCTCGTCGCATTAGGAGCAACGTAGAACTCATTTAGCTGATTGAGAATGCTAAGTGGCTTATTTGTGCCACAGCCTGCATTGACTTCATTCAAAACATCGTGTACTGAGGCATTTAAAATATCTCAGTTTGCATTTTGTGTGGAAATACATGTTGTGCCTAAACGCTCAGATATCTCATCGTCAAAATGATAGACCTGGGCAGAAACCACCCGGATTAATGTCACCGTTCCGGTGCTACAAAATCAGCACGGAATGCATAGCTGAGCTAAGCCGCATGAAAGTCATCCCGTTTGACTTGCCATTTTCAACACATCGTGTATTTCACACTGACAAAAGAGTTAGGTTGGGGTGGTGGGAACCCAAGGGCCACAGATATCACGACTTTAGATGGTCATGCAGTTGGGTGTCTGTTCAGGACAAAGGTTTCATTGCTCCTGGAAGAAACCCAATGCCACTAAACACAAGCTTCATCTTTATACATTCCATTCTGTTCAAGACCATGAAGCACCAAGTACAAAGCATCTGCAAATTCTATATATAAGTGTGTTAATGCTGTGTACCTTATACTGGTGTGTATTGGTATGAATGACGAATTCCACTCCTGCACTGTTAATTCTTGCATAGTCATTTCCATGCACTCGAAATTTTTTGCTGGAACAAATTTTTATTCAATTTAAATCACCGAATTAATAGCTTTTTCATGAGTGGAGTTCGCAGTCAGTCATGCAAAACAAAAAAGCTTAGGAAATTCGCGATTTTTTTATTTTCGGGATAAACCAGATGCGCTAGTTTCATTACAGTGTACAGACGTTTGGGCAAATCGAGATTTGTGTAATTTTGCAGGTAAGATCTGCTGCTGGCACTCGCGATGCTGCCGCGCAACGACATATTCGCTGATTTCTTTCTTACTCCTGGCTGCCATCGGTCTTGTCACCCTTGACCTGCTTTTTGATGACCTAGAAAGACGCGAATTCGCAAAGGTAGGCTGAAATGAGTCTAAGATGTTCACAGTAAGCATACCATTGCACTAACTTCACAAGTCATTCTGACTTGCCCATAAGAAGCCCTTGCATAAATTCAATACCAAGTTCGCAACTGAATATCACGCAGTAGATTGTATGCGCATACACCCATCTTAAATTTTAATGTTGTGGGGCAATGGAAACGAGATGATGGAAACAAAACACTAGGGTCAGACGTCAACGCGAATGTTTGTGAAATTACCGCCCTCAATGCAAGTTAGGTGCTTGGTTTTAAGTTAGTTTGACGTGCAGACTCAGGTGGTTTACCTGTTAAGACCAGCCACTTGAAACCTACGCGGTAATCTGGTAAGGAAATTACTCGAGGATGCAACCATGCATGAAAAGTCACCATTAGTAGCAACACATTTCAGGAATCCATTTAACACTAACACTTCACATTAAAATCAAGCCATATTCTTTGTTCCAGGTTCTTGAGATCACCAATGGTTCAATGACTTACCGCTTATTAACTGGAGATAGCGACGGTTTATTTAACATTACCGTAATGAGCGTCATAAACCCATATGAAGTCCAGTATAAAATGGCAAAACCACGGCTTAAGACACACGGGCCCTTTATTTACAGGTGAGCAACTTAATTACGTGATAGTTCTTTCCGCTAAGTTCCATGTTATAAGTAAATGCAGCATGCCTTTTCCAATTTCTGCGCTTTCAATTCCTACTTCCACACGCATATTTTCTCTGAGGTGTTAGAGTTTACGTGTTAACATTGTCCCACAATTAATGATACTTTATTGAATAAGTAGGGAATAAATTAATAGAGCTGTCATGCCTACCAGTCCCCCGTTCTCGCAGTTAATGTTGACGGACGCACATTACGAATAGTGGTGGCAGAAAAACACGCTCGGAGTGGGAGTACACGAGTGCATTGCATACGAGTGAAGCCCCACCCTTCCAACACACGACAGAGGACAATCGTCAAATGACCAACCACTGACCAAACTTGCCGCCTGTGTTTGCTTGCGTGATAAAATGGGAGTGATTAACGCAGACTGAAGTGTTGTGAGTTTGAGCTCAGACTTGGTGTGAATGAAGGGTAGTGTTACCGCTGAGATGGTGTCAATTTCGTGGTCGTGTAAGCAGAGCAGAGTGAAAATGATAGATGCCTTGATGTGCCATCAGGGCCATCGTGTCGTGGATATTTATAGGTCCAAATAATTGATGCAAACCACAAGTGGCACTTTTATCAAGGGCTTTCAAATTGATGAGCATCAATGTTTTTTATTGACAAAACACTCACAAATGAATAAAATCTATTCGAACATGACTGGGGATTAAAATTGAAATGCCAGATTACTAAGATGATTGGGCAGTCTGGTGTAGCATCAATTTATAATAATGGAATTGATATTTTCTGATTACGCGATTAAGGCAATTAGGAATGACCGACGACACCTGTCTGGAAATCACTCGAGGTAGCAGCAGCATCACTGCAGATAAACTCACTTCAGCAACGTGATGCAGGAGCCACAAGTGCATGTATTGTGCCTTGCATGCGCTGACATCTTAGTTGTGTGAAACCAAAACGCTAGCAAGATTTGCAAAACGATGTCATCAGCGTTGAGCATGAGCATTTGTCTCTTGGACTTTCGCATATCATGCTCTGTGAACTGGCGCAGTTAAGGGATTCGAAATTCTTCACACTGATAATAATTTGTGGGCCCTCTCCTTCTATGTATCTTTGTTTAATGCAGCAAAATTTTGAAGAAAATAAACAAACCGCCAAGTGATGCTATTAAAGCATTTGAAATTCCTAAAACTGATCATAATTTATGTGTATATGTTAACATATTTTTTTATTTAATACAGAAAAATTGTAAAGAAAAAAAACATATCATTTTCCATGGAAGATGGAAGACAATATATTCAATTCATGTATTACAGTTCCTATCATTTTAACTTAAACCTCTCTTCTGACGACGCGAATAAAGCCGTCATCACTGTGCCAAATTTGGCCAACTCGGTAAGCCAATTTACGGTTTGTTCTAACGCTAAGTGTATTTTATACCAGTAGGGCACTTTGAATGTGATAGATGGCAGTAAATGCCATAAAGAATGCTATCACGTTTGCCCATCACACAAAATGGTTCTCCCAACAACTAGTGTTTGAATGATCTGTGTTCTGCACGGCATTCCAGTTTGAGTTGCTAGGCCCATCAACTACTTGGATACGGAAAGAGAGTGGTCACGTTGCTAAAAGTTGGTAGTCTGTGGTAAGCTAGCGGACACTGAAATACTAACGCCGTAGAATGTGTCGGCTAACGCCACCACGTCGCTTATTTTTGATGCCGACAATACCAGGTACCAATCTGGTCCATATTATGTTAAAGACGCTCATGAACACAACACTTGTAACGATATTGTTTTAGGAATGCCCACTTAACTCAAAATAACACTTCGAATGAGTTGCAATTAAACTGCATGTTCGATCTTGGCTTGAACGAGTCATAGAAAAAAATTTCAGATATGCTCAGATGTTTCGTTCTATTTTGAAACCACAACAACAACCACGACGTATGCACGCACGCGCTTTAAAAGGTGCTGTAATTGGAGTACTTTGACACTTGACGCCGTTTAATTATATAATAAATGTTCACTCAATTACCTTGCATCTATCAACCAAAAGTTTAAATTCGGATTAAACTAAAGTTTAGGTGACGCTCTAAAATTAGTTGATTCAGTTGACATGGAATTACGAAGACCAAATGTACTTGTAGCTTGATCAGTTTCGCCAAGAAGAAAGATATGTGAAAGTAACAGGGAAGAACGAACGTTTCCGAAAAAAGTAGGATTTTAGTAGTTTAGAGAAGATCAGTTGACGTTTTTTGTGTTTCCTTGGTTTAAAAATGATTCGGCATAAAGCATGCAAGCGACAAGCCGATCGACAGACTCAATCGGGGACTCAAAATCGTAAACTTGGGTAATCTGTTACTGTGCCGATTTAAGGACATTCCCTGTTTGAAGTTACATTTGCCTCAGAAATCAGCAGAAAGAACAGGAAATTAAGGTGGCTGTAAACATTAACGGAAGTGTTGTTTCTCTACATCCAGATGTAGCCACCACGCATGTTAATCAAAACACCACTCATCTGGCTGATGATGAATAAAACATATAAAGGGGATTCCAGGTCATGTGTGATCATTACTCTCTAAATTTTGCTCCATAAATTTTGGATGAAGAACAAAACCAACAGGAAAGTGGGAATTTGCGTAGTATTTTAAAGCGAAGAGTCAAAAAAGTATTTTATAATGTTTTTAGGTCATTCGGTATATTATCGATGGAGGTCAAGGTAAACTTGGGTCAGTTGCGAAGCGGATACTTCGTTCAAACATGTTTATTAACATCACCGTGAATGACTTTCTCTGGGGATACGAGGATTCGGATTTGTGGTGGCTGAGTTGGTTCAAGTATTCCGACTCGGGAAAGACAGGTGTACTAATTGCAGTAGGTGTTTCCTTGCCTTTCTGACATTTTAATAATTACTCCGAAGTTGGTTCAATTCCGCGAAAGATTTAATCAAATTTACTATGGCGCATTTGGCAAAATGGTGAAGCTAACTTAGGAAATTTGGTATAAATTAGAATGGCTAGTGTGTGCATCCCTATGCTCGCCACTTTTCAGCGTTCAACGGGTTGGAGCGGTTGGAATTTGACTGACATGCTTTCTAGCCTTTGAAGCGGACAGTGGGTTAATTTTACCTAACCAACAGTGCGGAGGCAGACCAGGAAGACAGGAATGCACTTATGCCACGAAGCTCCAATGTGATGCAACTTTTTACAAGCTGGCATGAGGTGGGATTGGCACAGCAGACGTAGAAAGCACTGGGGCATGTCAAACTCTGTTTAGGATCACCGAGGTCAGGAATCTGCTGCCAGGTCAGGTGTAGAAATCTTATGGTGTGTACAACTCACAGAGTTAACCATTCTTTGAGATGCTAATTGTGAGGTCTTTGAAAAACTGTGATGAATTTAGGAAAAGTAATAATTTTAAAGAACTGCCACGTTAAATTTGCCAATCAGGCCTAATTTCATTCATTAATTTACAGGCCTAAATAAACTAGAATACGATTTCAGCTTTAATGTCTTGGACGTTTCAAGTTGCTCTACTTTTGAGTGCCAGCATTCATGTTTAATTCCCCAATATTGATAAGCCTTTTATGTCGCTTTTATTGTCGCTTGAATTAATTTAGAAGAGTAAAATGATTTTAACGAATTTGGCTGTCCTAATTTTTCCAGCTTTTAGCATGCTAGCAGTATTCACGTCACATGCCCTCAGACACATAACCAGGACGCTACTGACAACGAATAAGCTATTTAAGAACAAACCACGAAGCAGTCAGAAATGGCAAACAGGAAACTTATGCTACCACACGTTATGCTGCACCCATGGATTTCGGAGGGATATTTGATTTCAAGCAATAATAAAATGCTGTGTGCAAGGCAACGTCAATATGGGTTTACCCCGGTCGGTTGTACTCAATTCCACCTAACGCCTGACTAATACACCTCTCCTTCTTTCAGCTCAACAACTCGATTTCCGGACCATATAAATTAAACACTGGCACCAACGACATCTCAAGATTGGGCATATTGGAATCCTTTGAAAACAAGACGTACGTACAACATTATTTCCACAGACTGCATGCTTCTTGTCTCAGGATGAGCATT